CCTTCGAGCGGTCTGCTCAGCTCCCTCGCGCGCCGCACAGTGAGGCTGGGAGCCGGAATATGACATCATCTTCCGGCTCCCAGCCTCACTCTGCGGCGCGCGAGGGAGCTGAGCAGACCGCTCGGAGGAAGAGCTCCCCCGCCAGCCGCCCGCCCAGCCCAGCTCCCAGTGCCCGGCATGTCAGTTAGCCGCGAGGCTAACTAGGCATTTGCCCTGGGCATTTGGGGGCGGCGTTTTTTGCCCCCCCCATGGAAATTGCCGCCCAAGGCAAATGCCTTGTTTGCCTCGTGGCTAATAGGCCCCTGATGACACATCACGGCTTGAACTATCTTGCTTTGCATCTAATGCGTCTATCTCATATATTAGTTTCCCCTTTTACGTTGCATTACTGAAATAAATAAACTTTTGCACGATATTCAAATTTTTCGAGTATCACCTGTATTTTTTGTATACATATGTATAAATAAGAAGGTTATGGTGGGAAACAAATTGTGATTGAAAACCCCTTCCACCTGAAGTCTGTGGATAGTTAATACAATGTTAAACACAAATCTGCACACCAGTCAAGCCATAAGACTTGCTTTTCCCACAGAAATCACAAATTTGCAGTGATGTTACTACTGCAACAGATTCTGGGTGGGCATATGCAAATTAGTTTAACAAAGAATCACATTTTTGTCTCATTTCATTTTAACCCCTTAAGGACCGAGGACGGTTCAGGACCGTCATCGGCATTTTTGAGTTGCCGACCGATGACGGTCCTGAACCGTCCTAACGGTCTGGGGGTACTTACCTGATCGCCGTCGTTCCCCCGGCGGCGATCAGCGGTGCTCCGGTTGTGGGGAGACTGCCTGCAGCCCAGACAGTCTCCCCACGGCAGATTAGGACCCCTGTGGCCATGTGATCGCTTAACACAGCGATCACATGGTCACAATAGGTGTCTGTGTATCTGCTGACAGGCAGTCTCCCTGCTAGTGTAAAATAAATTAAAAAAATAAAGTTAGTGTTAATAAAAAAAAAAAATAATAATTATATATGTGTATATATGATATATAGACATATATTATATATATATATATATAATATGTCTATATATCATATATATAATGCCATACTAAGTGTATTTTTATATTAATATGTACTTATATTAATATAAAAATACACTTATAATTAAATTACACACATATATATATATAATATATATAATAACTATATATATTGTATATATATATATTATTATAAAATATAAATAATAAGTAATTTAAATTAAATAAAAAATTTTTAAATAATAATAAAAAATTTAAAAAAAATTATATAGCTATATGAAATTTTATTCTAACTGTATTTTAAAATTAATATATATATATTTATATCAAAATACACTTAGAATTAATTTTTATATATATCTATGTATAAAAATAAATAAAAATAATAAGAAATATACATACGTCCATATACAAAATTACATAAATAATTATATAAATATACACGTAGACTTCAAATATATAAATATGCATATATATTTAAATTCTACGTGCGTATTTATGTAATATTTTTTACATAATTCAGTAATTTTATTGATTGCAATTTGAGGGACCTGCCTGCCAACCCAGGCCGAAATTCCAGAGAATTTAATTTGCTAGCACTGTATTTTACCCTGTAACGTTCTACGACACCCTAAAACCTGTACATGGGGGGTACTGTTTTACTCGGGAGACTTCGCTGAACACAAATATTAGTGATTCAAACAGTAAAACATATCACAGCGATGATATTGTCAGTGAAAGTTACTTTTTTTGCATTTTTCACACACAAACAGCACTTTTACTGATGATATAATTGTTGTGATACGTTTTCCAGTTTTAAAACACTAATATTTGTGTTCAGCGATGTCTCCCGAGTAAAACAGTACCCCCCATGTACAGGTTTTATAGCATTTTTGAAAGTTACAAGGTCAAATATATGGGTCAAATATTTTTACATTGAAAATGGCCAGGTTGGTTACGTTGCCTTTGAGAGCGTATGGTAGCCCAGGAATGAGAATTACCCCATGATGGCATACCATTTGCAAAAGAAGACAACCCAAGGTATTGCAAATGGGGTATGTCCAGTCTTTTTTAGTAACCACTTGGTCACAAACACTGGCCAAAATTAGCGTTCAATTTAGTTTTTTTACTTTTTTCACACACAAACAAATATGAATGCTTACTTTGGCCAGTGTTTTCGACTAAGTGGCTACTAAAAAAGACTGGACATACCCCATATTGAATACCCTGGGTTGTCTACTTTAAAAAAAATATGTACATGTGGGGTGTTATTCAGAGATTTATGACAGATAATAGTGTTACAATGTCACTATTGATAAATTTTTAAAAATGTATGTTTTGAAACCGCAATATCCTACTTGTACCTATAGCCCTATAACATGCAAAAAAAAGCAAAAAAGCATGTAAACACTAGGTATTTTTAAACTCAGGACAAAATTTTGAATCTATTTAGCAGTTTTTTTAATTCGCTTTTGTAGATGAGCAAAAGATTTTTCAAGTAAAAGTCAAAAAACATGTATTTTTTTCAATTTTTCATCAGATTTTTGTATTTTTTTTAAATTAAAATACATGAGATTATACAAATAATGGTATGTAAAGAAAGCCCCTTTTGTCCTGAAAAAAACAATATATAATTTGTATGGGAACAGTAAATGAGAAAGCGGAAAATTACAGCCAAACACAAACACCACAAAAGTGTAAAAATATGCCTGGTCGCAAATGTACAACATCGCAAAAACAGTCCAGTCCTTAAGGGGTTAAACATGGATTCCTTTGAGTCTGTGTTTGCTGTATACAACAGCTTTGAAACACAACTTAGGAAAATATGCAAAGCCAGTGAACCACTCATGGATGGCTGTTTCATTGTTAATTCAAATCATCAGCATGGGGAATGGGTATGATACACATGAGGTGGTAGGAGACACATGGAGGGGCCAGGGATTGGGTATGATACACATGGGGTGGGAGGAGACACATGGAGGGGCTGGGGATTGGGTATGATACGCATGGGGTGGTAGGAGACACACAGAGGAGCTGGGGAATGGGGGTGAGACGACACATGGAGGGGCCCCAGGACAATTTTCACACCAGGGCCTGGTGGTTTCTAGTTATGCCTCTGCTGGGGAATGAAATGTTTGCATCCAACTCCTTAAAATGTTTAAATAGAATTATGGGATAGGATCCAGGGGTGCTGGTTTCTAATCCATGACATTGGGTTGGAATGCTTAGAGTGTCACTTTAGACTCTTCCTGTATGCACACATACTTACACTGTCCAAACACATTTACAGTAACTCTAAAGAATCTAAAGTACGTTGTCAAAGTTGGGGGTTTAAACCCAATGTGTTCATACCCTGTGACTAAATCCTTGTATTGTTATATTGAAACATAATTTTTAAACTTTTAGCTTTCTACCATTTGAAAGTGTAATTTACTGTGAGTGCTGATTCTTTTTTGTACATTTTTTTTATTAAGGTAGGTATTTACAGCATCACCACTAATAAATAATGACACAATGTAGCATATCACTGATAAACAACACAGTTAAATATATACTATAGCATTGTCAACATTCCCTCTTCAACCAAACAATATTACAAAAAATGGAAACCACAATTTATTTATGTATGTACAAATTATCTAAATAATTCACCATAAAAATCAGAGACTGAATTGTATGATTGTAATTAGCATGTTTACCTGATTATAGTAAGATTAAATTGCTTTGATTCAAAGCATAAAGAGAAAATAAAATAATAAACATGTGAAAAACATATTGTTATGAATTCAATTTATGATATAAGTGATACAATATAACACATTACACACAGTGAGATAACAGATACAATGTGACAGATTATTACACACTGTGAGATAACTGATACAATGTAACACATTATTACACACTGAGATAACTGATACAATGTAACATTATTACACACGGTTAGATAACTGATACAATGCAACATTATTACACACTGTTCGATAACTGATACAATGTGACACACTATGAGATAACTGATACAATGTAAAACATTATTACACACTATGAGATAACTGATACAATGTAACACACTGTGAGAACTGATACAATGTAACACATTATTACACACTGAGATAACTGATACAATGTAACATTATTACACACGGTTAGATAACTGATACAATGTAACATTATTACACACTGTTCGATAACTGATACAATGTGACACACTATGAGATAACTGATACAATGTAACACACTGTGAGAACTGATACAATGTAACACATTATTACACACTGAGCGATAACTGATACAGTATTACAAACTGTGAGATAACTGATACACTGTAACATTATTACAAACTGTGAGATAACTGATACAATGTGACACACTATGAGATAACTGATACAATGTAACATTATTACACACTGTGAGATAACTGATACAATGTAACATTATTACACACGGTGAGATAACTGATACAATGTGACACACTACGAGATAACTGATACAATGTAACATTATTACACACGGTGAGATAACTGATACAATGTAACACACTGTTAGATAACTGATACAATGTGACACACTATGAGATAACTGATACAATGTAACATTATTACACACTGTGAGATAACTGATACAATGTAACATTATTACACACTGTGAGATAACTGATACACTGTATCAGAGAAACGCTACGTTCTATCAGTCTCAGCGCATTGGCCAGCTGCTGCCGCGCGCTCACAGACAAACGCGCCAAACAGGACGCAATGCGCGTCCCATAGCTGCCTAGACCCCGCCCCCTGCGCTCACCGCCGCGCGCACAGCCCTGTCATTTGCATAGAGCGCGCTCGCGCTGTTTGCTTTTTCATCCCGCCGGTCGCCAGGCTGGGGATCTCCTCGCTGACGTCACGGTGACGCGGCTCCCCTCGGTCTCCATGCTGCACAGGTGACGGCGGCCGCCATATTGGCGGAGCCTGTGGCTGCGCGGACAGGGGGACTAGCAGCGGCTCCGGAGCTGGGGGGGAGCCGGATCCCCCGCCTCCCCTGGCTGTCCCGCAGACCCCGTGAGGCGCTGGCTGGGGATGCGGGGACCGAGCCTCCTCTGAGGGGGATGCCGCAGCGGCTCAGTCAGCTGGAGCTGGATCCGTGGCAGAAAATGGAGGTGTATGGGACCGGCGGGAGCGAGGTGTGTCTGCCCTCACCGGGTGTCAGTAACCCCCCCGGGTGTAACGGGGCTGGGTGTGAGTGTGACCCCCCCGGGGCTGGGTGTGAGTGTGACCCCCCCGGGGCTGGGTGTGAGTGTGACCCCCCGGGGCTGGGTGTCAGTGTGACCCGGGGTGTAACGGGCTGGGTGTGAGTGTGACCCGGGGCTGGGTGTGAGTGTGACCCGGGGTGTAACGGGGCTGGGTGTCAGTAACCCCCCGGGGTGTAACGGGGCTGGGTGTCAGTAACCCCCCGGGGTGTAACGGGGCTGGGTGTCAGTGTGACCCCCCGGGGCTGGGTGTCAGTGTGACCCCCCGGGGCTGGGTGTCAGTGTGACCCCCCGGGGCTGGGTGTCAGTGTGACCCCCCGGGCTGGGTGTCAGTGTGACCCCCCGGGGCTGGGTGTCAGTGTGACCCCCCGGGGCTGGGTGTCAGTGTGACCCCCCGGGGCTGGGTGTCAGTGTGACCCTCCGGGGCTGGGTGTCAGTGTGACCCCCCGGGGCTGGGTGTCAGTGTGACCCCCCGGGGCTGGGTGTCAGTGTGACCCCCCGGGGCTGGGTGTCAGTGTGACCCGGGGTGTAACGGGCTGAGTGTGAGTGTGACCCGGGGCTGGGTGTGAGTGTGACCCGGGGCGTAACGGGCTGGGCGTTAGTAACCCGGTGTGAGTGTGACCCGGGGTGTAACGGGCTGGGCGTGAGTGACTTCGGGGATGTAGCCGGCTGGGCGCGAGTGACCTCGGGGGTGTGCTGGGCGCGAGTGACCTCGGGGGTGTGCTGGGCGTGAGTGACCCGGGCTGTAACGGGCTGGGTGTCAGTAACGGGCTGGGTGTGTGTGACCTCAAGGGGCTGGGTGTGAGTGACCCGGGGGTGTAGCGGGCTGGGCTGTGTGTACATACTGCCAGTTGACATGTGGTGTGTGTCCTTACTAGTACCACATTTTCTGATGCAGTGTGTCATTGTCATTCACAGCTCTGTGTGTCACCACCAGAGCCTGTACCACATTGTCTGATACACTGTGTGTCACCACTAGTACCACATTGTTTGATTAACTGTGTGTGTGTCTCACTGGGGCTTGTACCACATTGTCTTATCCATAGCTCTGTGTGTTATTGTGATCCACAGGATGTGTCCCTATATATATGTCATGGTGATCCACTGTGAGTGTCTGTGTGTGTCCTTGTGATCCACAGCAAGCACCCCTGTGTGTGGCCTTTGTCAGTTTGAGCCACAAAGAGGTTTTCTGTGTATTTCAGTTGGTTTCCACAATGATAGTGTCTGTGTGATCCATTGCAAGGATCTCTGTATGTCAATGGTTTCCACAGCGAGGTTTGCTGTTGGTGTGTGTCAATGTGATCCGCGGCAAGTGTCTGTGTGTGATCCACAGTGAGGGCCCTTGTTTTTGTGTTAGTGTGATCCACGGCAAAGGTCCATTTGTGTGTCAGTGTTAACCACAGCAAAGGGTACCTGTGTGTCAGTATGATCCACAGTGAGTGTCCCTGCGTGTGCTTAATCCACAATAATGGTCAATAATGGCTCACGACTAGGGACCTGGTGCCTGTGTCAGTCTGGTCCACAGTATGGGTCAATTTCTGTGTGTCAGTGTGATCCCCCGAGATTATTATTGGTATTTATATAGTGCCAAATAATTCTGCAGCGCTTTACAATATTATTAAAAGGGTGAAATTTTACACAGGAACATTAGATGAGGACCCTGCTCAAACGAGTTTACAGTCTAGTGGCTCCTGTGTGTTAGTCTGGTTAGCTGTGAGGGTCCCTCTGTGTCAATTTGTGTGTAAGTTGAACCTATTGCAATGAGACCATTTAAGTGTCTGTGAAGGTCTCTGTTTCTCATTCTGATCTGTAACGTGTGAATTTGAGTGTGGTTGTTGCGTATGTCACTCAGTATTAGTGAGTATTCTTTTGTATCAATATGATACGATTTTAAGGGTTCTTCTCCTGTGTCTCATTCTTACCCACATGCATGGGTTGTGTATAGGTCACACTATCTGTTGCAAGGGCTTCTGTGCTCACCTGCAGTTCTCTATTGCGCTGTGACAAACCACTTTTTTTTGTTTGTGGGAAGAGTGCTCTGTATGTGTCTGATTTTGCAGCAGTTTTCATGATGTTTGTAGTCTGTGTGCATCTAACTGAGGAGCTGTAATTTGCACCAATAGTTCTCACATCAGTCTGACGATCCAAGAATGTGAGACTTTGCTGTTTTCTGTACTCTGAACGGTCCTCCATGTGTGTTTTAATGCTGTAGGTGATGCTTGAAGAGGGACCTATTGTGACATATTAGACATGCGTATGATCAACAATGTCCTTGGGGTCTCTTAACCAAGTGAGACTGATCAAATCATTTGGGCATTTAACAATGATAAGCGGCAAAATCATACCTTTGCTATGTGATGCCCTCCTTTAATAATCTTATTTAGAACAGATTATTTCATACTTTTTCTCTGTGTTGCAAAATGTTTCACATCCTCTCTCTATTTTAAAGTTATTGTGGTGGTACTTCTAGGTTTAAATGTCTTTTGTCATTTTGTGAAACTCGTGGCTTTATTTACACACTATCGTGTGTGTGTTTTGAATTATGTTCGCAAGTATGTGCATGTGGTTTACACAGTTATATTTGCTATGAATGCCATGTGGACTTAAAGTATATTAGTCAATCATATAAAATATGACCGGTACACTTAATGCAAAGTTCTATTACACTGTCATAAGGTAGCCTAATGGCAAAACTCATAACAAAAGATGTTTGTCAGGGTACTAAGCACAGTGTTATATCACTCTTCTGTAATCACTGTTTTTGCATTTGATGGATAAATTGCCTTCATTTGCACTATAATTTTGCTAATACAGATGTTTACCCCTCTATACATACACGTGGGACGTGTGTTTTTAGGATTTGTGTATCATTCTAGTATAAATTATTGGTATACTTGTTTAGGTCAAAACCAGATATAGTGGGCAGATAGTTCATTGTTTTTAAAAGCATATACCCTTCATCCTAAAGATTCTATAGCCCAGAAGGGTTATAAAGTGCATATTCCTTTTTACAACAGTGGAAGAAGGGCAGCTACTTTTTGGCTTTTTATTGGGAATCACTTTGCCCAGTATTTTTCCAACTTATCTTCAGAACCCTTTGTCAGTCCAGAATGTCCTTAATTTGATTCTTTAGCACAGGTGAGGTAGTCATTGGCTGGTTGAGCTTAACTGAGACCGAATTGGTTTGAAGATTGTTGCTCTTGTTCTGATTTAACATGCATACAGTATACACCGTGAAGTGCCAAGCAGACTTTTTTTCCCCCATCTCTTTTTATACCCCAGAGACATGCACTCAATGGGCTTTTAATATTTCTCTTGCTAGTGAGCATCCGTAACTTTTTTTTGTGTAATATGTATGCAGAAATAAAGATTTACTAATCGGTTTTACTTCATGTTGATACTCTCACACACGGCCACACATTTATAATGACACATCTGCATTCAGACCTGAAATTTGACGTATTCTCAAACAGCAGAGACAAGCACATACAACTGGACTACAACTAGATCTTTGCTAGACTCTGTTAGAACTGCTGGAAGACAAAGGGGGCTGATGCTTGTGGCAAGTCCTGCATTAACACATGGATTTGCAGTTGCAACTGCAGAAAAAGTAGCGTCTATCTCTCTGCACCACTGGAATCGTTCCTGATTGTTTATGGTGACTCTGATCACTTTTACTGTTTATTTTGTACTAGGCCTCCATCCTGTATGGGCAGCCGCTGTTTACTTCAGGCCCCCTTTGTCTTTCACTTGGTTTTGTTAGTTTTTCAGTGTCTCTGATGTGAATGAATGGAGAGCTCTTTAGCATCACAACACATCCTGCATGTTTGAACATGTGGGTTCACTCCCTACAATTGCTGAGCTGGTGAAATGCGTATTCATATCTTTAAATATACCATGTGGAAGCTTCAGCCCCCTCCACTGCACACACACTAGGTACTGAGAATGCTGTAATTCAGTGTCTTAATGGGGTCTCGAGGGCCAAATGCAGCCATCAAGTGTTTTATTTTCATGGTTTCCCTTGCTTGTATACTCCTAATTTAAAAACAACTGTTTACGTCATTTAACCCCTTAATGACACAACTTCTGGAATAAAAGGGAATCATGACGGAATATTTCCGTCATGTTTCCTTAAGGGGTTAAGAAAGTCTGACTCCACACCCTGTCTGATTTACAGTTCTCCCTATTAAGAGGCTGGTGTGCATGCTACATATTCTGTTTTTGTCAGTAAAAATGGCTTGGTGAGATGTGACTCTTCTTTTGTGATGAGTGTCTATATGCCAAGCCGCTTCATATATCGGCTTAAGTCATTTTTGTGCTGAACCAGTAGCAGGTGTGATGGATAATCCCTGATGTGATTTAGTAATTTGGTACTATGCAGAGCGTGTGTAGTTTGCAAACCTGTATTGCTTGCTTTATACAGAATGACTGCATAGCTTCTACGTTTTGAGATTTACCTGATTTGGGTTCCAGAGCGGTTATCAGTCGCCCTCGTATGCCATTCCAATAACCAGCTCACCACTGATTATGATTTTACTGTGATCTGATAACTGCAGACTGTCTATACAGGTAGCTTCAGAATTCTTTTGTCCGCAACAAAGCAGCGTTTTTGGTGGGTGGGGGAGGGAAGGGGCTGTGACTGGCTCCTCTTTAAATTGGTCTCTCAGACCTTTCTGTGCCATCGGGAATGGGTTTTATACTTCTTGCACCCTCCTGGTTCATCCCTTTATACATTGAGAAGGATTCTCTAGAATTTTCAAGTTGTTTGACTTAGTGTGGTAGACTAATAATAAAGAGGTTATTTAATAGAATCTGAACTCAAATTGCAAAATATTTGAAACAAAATGTAGATGAATAGGGGGGAAAAAAAACAGGGTAATTTTTCTAAATTGTAGTTCAGATACAAGTACACAGTATAACAATTTGTCTGGCCTTTGAATTGTATCCAGATTGACAACACATATGTTCATTCTGGAAGTTTATTCATCACTTCAAGTTCAGCCTTTTACACATATCCATTTTATTTTTTTTGCCACGAAGTTGTTACCTCAAATATAAACTAATAAATACTTGAATATTTTGGTTTCCAAAGAAAGCATCCAGCTGTAGTTTTAAAACTTACAAAATCTAATAAAAACCATAATTTATTTTAGAATTTAAAGGGCCACTATAGTGCCCTGAGGGTGCCCCCACCCTCAGGGTACCCCTCCCGCCCGGCTCTGGAAGGGGGAAAGGGGTAAAAACTTACCTTTTTCCAGCGCTGGGCGGGGAGCTCTCTGCCTCCTCTCCTCCTCCGATCCGCCCAGTCGACTGAATGCGCACGTGCGGCAAGAGCTGCGCGCGCATTCAGCCGGTCGCAATGCTTTCCTATGGACGCTTGCGTGCTCTCACTGTGATTTTCACAGTGAGAATCACGCAAGCGCCTCTAGCGGCTGTCAATGAGACGGCCACTAGAGGATTTGGAGGAAGGCTTAACCCATTGATAAACATAGCAGTTTCTCTGAAACTGCTTTGTTTATAAAAAAAAAAAAAAATGGGTTAACCCTAGAAGGACCTGGCACCCAGACCACTTCATTAAGCTGAAGTGGTCTGGGTGCCTAGAGTGGTCCTTTAACTCTGAAGGATATTTAAAGGAACACTATAGGGTCAGGAACACCAGCATGTATTCCTGACCCTGTAGTGAAAAACCCACCATTTAGGTGGTTTTAGCCAATCCAATGCTTTCTTATAGGGATTGGCTAAAATTGGCTAAAATCAGCAAGGTGGGCCAAACACTGTCTTGGCCAGTCAGTACCTCCTCATAGAGGTGCATTGAATCAATGAGGAAAATTGAATCAATGAGGAAAATTCAGCGTCCCCATGCAGAGCGTGGAGACGCTGGACAGCACTGCTGTCTACTGTGCAGCACTGAGCCAGGAAGCACCTCCAGTGGCCATCTAAGGAGTGACCACTTGGAGGTGTCCCTAGGGGCAATGTAAACACTGCCTCTTCTCTGAAAAGGCAGTGTTTGCATGAAAATTCCTGAAGGCAATAATTATACTCACCAGAACAACTACATTAAGCTATTGTTATTCTGGTGACTATATAGTTTCCATTTAAGGGCCAGTACAGACATGTGCATTCAGTTTTAAACAAATACAGTATTTTGTCTGAATTTTGTGTCACCGGCGAGCTGTCTAAATTCTCTAACTTGGCATACTTGTTACTTCCTTTCACTTTGTCTGTGAACCAAATGGTGGGAAAATGCACCTGTCAATGACCCTGCCCCGATCCGCCTTCTTGGCCGATCCAATCAGAATTAATAATCTAAGCCAATTAAATGCTTTCTCATAGGGAAAATGGGGCGGGGCCAAACCCTGGCTTGGTCAATCAGCATCTCCTCATAGAGTTGCAATGATGAATGTTCTTCTGAATGTCAGTGCTGCACACTGGGAGGTACCTCCAGTGGCCCTCTGAGTAGTGTCCACTGGAGGTGTCCCGAAGGGGCAATGTAAACACAGCCTTTTCTATGAAAAGGCATTGTTTACAGCAAAACGGCTACAGGGATTAACTATACTCACCAGAACAACTACATTAAGCTGTAGTTGTTCTGGTGTCTATAGTGTTCCTTTAATTTTTTTTGCCATGCACAAGCCTACCAGTTAAGCGTGTTCTTTTGGGGCTTCCTAATTATATGCACCATATTTATTTACTTTCCTAACCCTTCCTTATGAGTTGGTGCCGTCATCTCCCAAACTGGTTTGTAAAAGATAATAGTGCTACAGAATTCTCTTAACATGTTGCCCTGCAATTTCTTTCCTTCAAGTCCGATGTTCTTATAATTACTATCATATTACTATGATAATTTTTGGTGTTCTTCCTTGTTTGCACACCAGAAATCCCTGAGGGTCTGATATTGCTCTTTGCCACTACCCATTTTCGACTCTTGCCTTATGTCAACGTGGAATGTACTTCATATTTCACTTAGGCAGCTGCAAGCAGCCTTTCGGTTGCTCATATAGTGGTCTATTTCATAATAGTTTCTTTATAGAACAGAATGGTCTCAGGGCATAGACTGTCATTGGCCCTTTCAGGAGTTAAATTAGGACTTTCAAATTCTGACCTCACAGATGTTTAAAATGGCTCTAATGAGCCAAGTGTTGAACATGCTTCATCAACATATCAAGCATTTGAGATCTACTGACAAATTTTCATTCAGGTCACATAATGTTTAATGTTTCCAGCATTCTTTATACAGCCATGTGATAGTTTCTGAATTTAAAGGAACACTGTAAGGTAAAAATAAAGCAATGCATTAATTAAGCTTATTAATTTTTTTTCATTTATAATTGGAAAATGAATACAATCACAGTTAAACTCACCTGTAATCCACTGGAGGAGTTGCTTCTAGTCGCTGACAGTCCACCAGCCACTAGAGACCTGTTCTCTGGCAAATGTAAACGTTGCCATTTCTTTGAATTGGGGTCTGAGCAAGGTGAAGTGATTTTGGTGCTTAGTGTCCCTTTTATTACAGTCTTGTAATATATTCTAAACTTCAGTTGAAGCTTTTTTAACTTTACAAAAATCTTTACATTGCAATAAATTTATCTTTGTTTTCCAGACACATTTCATTCAGAATTGTTTACATTGCATTTATCAGTCTTGGAGTGGACTATTTTGAATTTATTTGGGTGAATGTGCCGTATCTAACAGTATCAATTTTGTGACATTGTGAGATGTCGTCTCTGATTTGGGGCGAGTTGTTGTGCACGCAGTCACTTGCATCCATTGTAATGGTAATCTTGAGCAGGTGCACCAAGACTGTATGCATTCAACATATGTTAATGTAGGTCATTATTAAAGCTCTTTGTTAAGTCAAGCTCATTATTCTGTGTTTTTAAAAAAGCCATACATAAGTTGGGTTTTTCCATCTACAAATTTGTTACTTGCTTAGAATGACTTTAGGATATGATATTACGACGTTTAATGATGTCTAGAATAATATTTGGCCTTTTTGACTATAAAGCAGCCAACATCTGTATTTTGCATTCAAGCCAACAGCTGAGAATGGCCAAATAGACAAATTCTGTTGTTGTGTACATTTGAGATTAAGCCATGCCTCTTGGGATACTGAAATGTATCCATGTTTGACTAGGTATTATTCATCCTCTTCTGTTCAAAGTGTGTTCTTGTATATTAAATCGAATGCAATGTTCTAACAATATTCTGGACACAAGTACTGACCTACCAGAATAAAATGTCATGTATCCTAAGAAGATGGTCACTTTTACTGAAGGGCATTGTTTTAAAGCACCAGTGATGGCTACAGGGAATTGTCTCTATCTATGGAGAGTCACACACGGTCCTCCATAGATCTCAGTGCCCTACTCTTGCGAATTCCCTAGATAAGAGCAGTGCTTTCGGCTCCTAGCGTGCTGAAAAGGATCCGCCCGAAGAAGATGGCAGTGCCTGCAAGGGAACAAGAGAACAGGTAGCACCAAACTTAAATAACAAATGCAGAAGTAAAAAATAGTCTCTAAAGGCACAATGACAAAGTCTATGGTAAAGTCCAAAGAAATGCCAGTTGTTGAGATACAATCTCAAGATAGAAGGTAATGTGTCTTCAAATATTCTTAAAATGCTTGAGTGACAATTCTGTTCAGTAGCAGCATATGAGAAAAAATAAAACAGAGAAACATGTAAATATGATAAAAATATTTAGCGAGCGCTATTAAAATTTAAAAATGCCATCTCACATGTAATAGAGCTATAACCAGCGCTAGGTAAAACAGCATGCAGTGTTATTGTATCCCCTCTTGCAGGATATTCTTCAGGTAGTAGTTGGCACCAGGATGATATAAAGCATAACACATGACAAAATGAAAGGCCAATAATGTAATCTATTGAGGTAAGTATACACACACCAAAAAAAATAAATGTACTTAGTATAGGTAGAGCAGACTGACCACTCTTTGAGTTAGGCATGGATAGTATAATCCCCACCTAGGATCCTTTCGTGGGTTCAGGAGAGAGGTAGGATACCCGGTTTTAGGTAGAAACTGATAAATCTAAAAAGTATATGGCTTTCAACAAACAGTAAAGTAGCCAAAAATACTTTATTCAATATAAACCCACAACGCGTTTCACTTTTTTGGGCCTTTTCAAGTGGATAAACTTTTTATCCACTTTATACTTCTACATTTATTGTTTACTTGGCGCTACCTTACTTGCTAAGTTCTCTCCTTAGGGTTTTAGAGGGAATCCCCTATTTCAGGTGTGCAGCCTCATATATATTTTTTCACTGTTTAGTTGTTGAGTGCTGTTCCTACCTCTTGTTTACTTTGTATTTACAAGTTCAGGTAAGTGGAACTCACCTTTGCCAGCTCCCCTCCCCCGCCACTGGACTCCACAGTGGTGATGTCACCTTCAGTGAACTTTGCAAATTATGCAAAGTCCCCAGATGCTGACAGTGTCACGTTAACATCACATATGTGCATGCTATGTTAAATATTTTCTATATTTTTCTTATTTTGGCCTGTAAACTTTGCAGTTCTCACATCTTCGTCATACCTCCTTAGTTACTAATGGAATCATAGTGATACAACAGGTTCTTCTGGATATACATGCTCCTCTATCATTAATGCAAACCTTTATTGGAACTCCCTGGTATCAAGATGGAATAGGTAAAGTAAACGCTCCCAGTGACAGGAGAGCTGTAGGTGTCTGAGAGCAGGATTACTCCCCAAAGTGTTAATTGTCAGGAAAGCTAAATTAATTAAAATGTTAAGACTAAACTGCCAACAGTTCACCTTGAGATAGTTTCTAGTTGGGTTAGTTTGACCTAAAAGTTAAAATGTACTTTTACAGGATTATTTACTAAAGTGACACTGACAGGGTTATTGACTGAAGTGAGAATTCCAAATGAATTTCAAATTTAAGGTCAGAGTGGCTTAATGGAAAGCAAATTTTTGCAGTTTGGCTATTTCCACCTTAAAATTGAAATTTACTTTGAATTAATCTTGAATACTCATTTCAGTAAATAATTCTGACCATGAATACTTTGTGGACTATACAACCAAAATGTCAAATAATAAAAAATAAACGGAGATGGTCAAGGGGTGAAACCTGCTGATCTCCAGGAACCAGTGACCCACCAGAACGTACAATATTAAAACCAAAAATATATAACTTTTTATAACGGAGCAATAATTCTTCAATTTCTTGGTGTGATCGTATGTGCTTTAATTTCATTTTCTTTTCTTTATTGGTTTGTATTTAGTCCATGTAGCCACCAGTGTTTACTGTCAAGTACGACATCAGGTTGACGTGGGACTTTTCATTTTGAAAGATCTTCGTGATATGTGGGTGATTTGAATAGCTATGTTGCAGGCTATTCAAACGTCTCTTTGAACTTGTGCTGACTTATTTGAATTTTGTCTTAGTCACCTAACTTAGGGAAATTATATATGTTTAAGCTTTGGGTGTGGATATCCTGATGGCTTGTAGCATCTCTATGTACAGGAGGAGCAGAAACCTGACTTCTTTCCAAGTCGGGTGTGATGCACTGATCTTTACCCTCTTCAATCTCCTCTAATCCAATTTCCAAAAGTCTCTCTCCAGCTTTACCCATCAGGACTCCTGGATCAGGTGTGTGGATTTTATGTCTGGGTCTGTCTATGCCAAATAGATGGAATTAAATGTAGGCCAGCATGCTAATGCCTTGCGTATTTTTGCTTCTGTCTGACACTTTTAATCAAGCTGCAAATCCTTATGCACAGACTGTGAATTTAAATGTTTTGACTTTTTTTTTTGAGCAGTGAAGTAATTTAGCAGATTTAGCAAACTTTTTTTTTTTTTCTTTTTCCTTCTTCGTGAGGCTAGTAGTTTTTCCACTGCCGGCTAGTAAGTGTTTTGTTTTAGTGGATTGGCATTGAGGCCTATTTGTATGTTTTCTGTTGCAGCCCATTTGGTTTAAAGGACCAGCTCTTTACTGTTTATACAGGGCTGCAGTAATGATGCTCTGATGCTTTTGAAAGAAAAATGACAATGATTAAAGATTTTGGTATGCAGTAAGATGCACACACCTAATGTAAATATGTTCCCTTCCGGTTGGATGTGCTATTATTTTTTTTTTTTTTTTAGCATTTATATAGCGCCAACATATTGTGCAGTGCTTTCCAAATCTAGAAAAGGGATATTTAGAGGTGAAGTCGACCCTGCTCATACAACCTTACAATCTAGGGCTGTGTGCTTTTTCTATGCTTTCCAATAAACCATTTATTTAGGCAAGTCCAAATGCATTTAGAAGCATGTGGCATTAAGTATCAGAATGTTGGGAGTGTAGTCGGCTCAAGAAATCACCTGCTGAGTAGGTGCACTTGAATATTACTTATTTGCGTTTATATAGAATTTTATAGTGCCAATGCAATGCTCTAACTCACTGGTCCCTCATGCATCAATTTAGGTCATTCTGTTCTGTTCCAATGGGACATTGCTAAACTCTGGACTGTAAGGGGTGCACAAAGACAAACATGGGTACCTAAGGTGGTCTTTTAATTTAATTCAGATGAAGCTTCTTTTAAACGTTTTCCATTTCAATTTTAGATTCCTAGATTCAATTTTTGGTAGTGACAAACTGATACAAAGAACACCCTGTCTCTACTTTTTTCCTTTATGTTTACTTTCTCAGTCTGACTTCTTGCGTTAAGTTTACCCAGTGGCGTTGGAAATTGTCCTTGTAAGACACGTGTTTTCATGTTCAAATTTTTTTTTTTTTTTTACATCATTTTCATGCTATAGTTTTGCTTGTTTTAAGTAGATGGATGGTAAACGTGTAGGAACAAAAAGGATGGTTAGGCAGCACATCTCGGACATTAACACACATTGATATCCTTCAAAATCCACCCTCTCTTCTTTGCAGAGTACCAGAATGAGCCCTGTCACATTCAATCTTTTTATCCATATTTCCTGTTCTCTTGCCTCCAGCAGACAGTAGATAAATTGTCCAGACTCAGATGCCACACTGATCTTGCAACAAAAGGATCCACCTACAGTAACATTTTTGAAGTCTCAAAAACAGATATTATTATTATTATTATTGCCATTTATATAGCGCCAGCAGATTCTGTAGCGCTTTATAGAGAGGGGGGGATTTAACTATAAATAGGACAATTACAAGAAAACTTACAGGAACGATAGGTTGAAGAGGACCCTGCTTAAATGAGCTTACAGTCTATAGGAGGTGGGGTATAACACATTAGGACAGAAAATGGCAATCACATAAGGTGGGAGTGAAGCAGAGCTGGAGGAGAGAGTCCAAGAGACATGTATATAAGGTAGAGGTTACTCGGGGAGGCCATACACTTTCCTAAAGAGATGGGTTTTAAGGCACTTTTTAAATGATTGAAAATTATTGGAGTGTCTGATAGGAAGGGAGCCTCCCGCGAGAAGTCCTGCAAGCGTGTGTTGGCCGTACGGGTGCAAGCAGTGGAGGGACCGAGAAGGGGCGGGTAGGAGTTATCCTGTTTTGGCACAGCGATTTTTGTCAATCACACTTCTCATGAGCTTCGATCATTAGTTTGCCAAATACCTTTCAAATCTCTCTGCTGGGTTTGCTGCAGTACCTGTTTTCATTAAAGGAACACTATAGCATTAGGAATACAAATGTGTATTCCTAACACTATTCGGGCCCTGTAGGCTGTTTAGGGCCCCATGCCCTACCCGGAGGCAGTATAAATGGTATGCTACTTATACTTATTTATACTATATACAGTATAAATGGTATGCTACTTATACCTATTCTCCCTTGCTGCGCCAATCTCCTTGGGGAAGCTCTGCCTCCTTGGCTAAGATAATAAACGGGTGGGGGAGGAGGGAGGAATAGCCAGACCACTTTATTGTACTGAAATGGTCTGGGTGTATATAGTGTCCCTTTTAACTCTGTTCTCATGTTATTCACAAACTTATTTAAGAATCCTTTTATTTTTTTAACTTTATTAAAGTGGACATATCCAATAATAACAGATGGTTGATGAGGTCAGTTTCAGATAGGTTCAAACATTTCTATTTCTAACATCGCTTGGAATCCCCATCCGTTTTGCCGATTAAAAGATGTAATTATTAGAATTAAATTTTTTAATAACTTAGGGATTTATATACGGAAAATACCGGGAAATGTATACAAATTGTGGAAGGTTGTCATGGCAAAATAGCCGATGATAAAATACTCTGTTTGAAATAGTCTGGTTTGTCTAGTTTTTAGATAATACATGGTTTTCTGGAACTAATTTGTATTAGTGGTATGCTAGCTTGCCCCCAATGTTGACATAGGCACAGGAAGTCAGTCTGTCAAGATATTCACTGTGTGTATAAAAGTTTGAAAAATATCTTGGAATGTGTGGGTGATAAAATGGCTCTGAATACAATATAGTCTACTGTTTAAAACTGGTTTATGTCAAAAATTGTTGGTGATCATTTTCTTTAAATATCAATTTATATAGTTTTCTGTTTGTGACCTGTGTTTTGTATGAGTCTCTGATGTGGGTCTCTTCACTTCTTTACATATGAAAAGGGTAAAAGGGTAATTGCTCTCTTCCGGAGGATGATTCCTTTGGCTACTTCCCAGGTCTGACACTGGCCTCACCCTTGGTATTTAAAATATTTAATCGTATAATTAATATTTTTCTCGGCATGTTTAAAACATGATGCAATCCTACAGTGTTTATTTGTGAAACCTGTTCAGCGTTGTTAGATGTGTGGGCATGTTTGTGTCTCCCTGGCGTCCTGGCATTGATGGGAGTCATGTTTCCAGGGTACAGTTGCTGTTATTAATTCTATCCCTGTCCCCATATTTGTATGGATGTTGAAATTTTGTTAGTCATGCTACCGATGTTGTGGCATACAGGAGCTACGGTGACAGCACCGTGGCAGGTCCCCTATTGGGTCTGTGTGTATGAGTGTCTTTTTTTCATTACAGATTCTTTGGAAAAACAATAATATCAAACTGTTCTTGATCAAAACCTCAAAGAAAGAAATGTTATATATGTTCTGTTGTATTGTTTTTATATTTTTATTTTTTTACAACCGTGAATTGTTAGTCTATTCGGGGGAAATAATACCATCTCAGGGTTTTGTGAACTATTAAAAAAAAGAAAAAAAAAAAGAAAACTCCACCAGTCATTCTCTCCCAACAATACACACATCACCATATTTTCTTTCTCTCTGTTTAATAGCAAAAGTGGAGCAATCACCATAGAAATCAGGAGTTGGGAATTTACCTTCCTCCACTTCTAAAACTTTTCTGTTAATGAGCATTGTGATGGACCGCTTGGCACCCTGACCGGGTACCTCCGTCAATCGCTGCTTCCTAGTAATCCTTGACTACCATAAGCACCGCACACCATAACCACATAACCACCGCAGCTTGGTTGTGGTCTCGCAGTCCTCCACCTACCCTGGACCCAAGACCAGGATCCAGCTTCCAGTGGGTAGACCTCTCCTAGTCCAGAGAGCGTAGCAGGAACAGATCTTAGAAGAGCTAGTGATAATACTCAAGGGTTGGATTAAAGCAATCCCCAGAGTGAATATAGCTCTACAATACCCCCAAACATGAGCCTAGACTTCATGAAGGGTAAAACAAATCTGTTTAATGGCAGCCACAACTGGCCTTTTATGACAGTCCCCATGCAAGGTAAACCACAGTAGAAACAAATACATGTTTACATTGGCTCTCTGGTCAAGGACACTCTAACACAAAATTGATCAATCCCTCCCCTATGCCTGGGCGATAATTGAGTCAAGCACTATACTAAACTCAATTGTCTCCAAACACACACAAACATTTTTACAAACCCTCAAAATAACTTAAAACACACAAAATCTCCACAACAGTTACATCCCCCGATAACCCTGATCTGGGTGACCAACATATCCAAAAATCACCCAGATCAGTTCAGGAGTTCAGGAATTTCCTGGAAGTCTTAATTTTGACCGCCCGTATGCATGGTCCCATGCCCAAAACAGTTCCAGAGAATCGGGGCTTGCATTCGGTCTACTTCGGTAGTTTAAAAACAAACTACCTAACAGAGTTAATAGTCTTACCCTGGAGCTTGATCCCCTTGTTCATGGGAACGTTTCCACTAAACAGCTCTGGATGTCCAGCAGTGTTCAGGAGTTTTGTCAGTTTTCAGTTCCATGAGATTAATGCCCAAACACCTGCTTGCATGTGAACAAGATGGCCACGACCTCGTGGTTGTCCATAGGAATTACGGACACTCAGACAAACACTTAGAATACTGCGGTGGAAATTGCTACAAAGCTCCAGGGTGGTCTCCAGGGTGGTCTTCGGTACGTGCGGCTGTTCACGAACCAAATATAAAATCCCACGAACAAAGTCTGTTCATAGATTATTTTTTTTTGATTTTTTTTTTAAATTTTTTTTATAAAGGGTTCATAGTCTTTTGGTAAGAGGCTGGCCAGCAGACCCCTCCAAGCCCACGTGACAAGGCTCTGTTCATCACAAGCATTGTCAGTCTTACTCAGTTTAGGCTTTTTTAAAAAAAAAAAAAATCTTATTCAGGCATCTGCTTGTTCAGTTATGGGTGGGGGTAGCATTGTATGTTTGCACTAACGTACTTACACTGCAACTTTCTTTAAACATTTTTGTATCTATCTGCAAAGTATGAGGTAAATAAAAAAGTTTATTGCAATGTTAGAACTCAGTAGGCTTGAGTCATGAGCTGATGAGCTGATGGGCAACCAGGGCAGAGAATAGAATAAAAATATGGTTTTGGCAGAGGTGTTAATGATGAACTAAAGAGGATATACCGGGTAGAGGGTTAGACTAGATAATGGATTATCATTTTGATGGTTTCTATTGTTTAAAACTGACACATCCTGGAGATGTCCCTTGAGTAAAAGCAAGAGGGGATTGCATGTTTAAGAAATAGTTTGCTAGTAGAAGAGAGAAATTGTTGTTGGAATTGAGAATGGTGGTCACTGATGACTTGGTAGCCCAGTACCATCGAGTAAGTGACGTGACTGACACAAGATCATAGGACAACAGTTCGGGAGACTAGAAGTGGATGAATGTCAACATATAGGTGATATTGAAATCTGAAGAACTAAGGAATCTTTTACTTTGCCAAAAGAGGTTGTATAGTAGAAGAGCAAGGGGAGTGAGTAATAGAAAGCAGAAAGTAGTTGTATGCAGAGCCAGGTATATGAGAAGTTGCTGAAAGGATAATTGGAAAGCTACAATTTGAACCAAGTAATCAAACTGGTGAAAAGTTTGGGACGATGCAAAACCACATCAAAGGCAGCATAAAAGTCCATGACTATGTGAGGACCCCTTGGCTATGCTATTGTCAATACAAATATTGTGATGTAAAAATAAAAAATATAGTGTGCATCATTCTAACTGAATATGTAACTTTGTGTCTGTTTGCTTTCAAAAGCAGGTGTGGATCAGTGGTGCTGGTTACAGGTTGCATCTTGATGCAGTCTAAGTGAATGCAGGTTGTGTGTGTGTGTGTGTGTATATGAAAGGTATAGGAGATGGTGTAGGTGCACCTTTTTTATGAATAAGGTTATCTACCTTTTTACTGTCATGCCCTCATCAGCCAAAACCTCCATGTTTCACTTGATATCAAGATTTACAAACAGCTGCTAGTTACAAAAAAATCTAGCTGATGCCTGTATATCCACAGTCTCCATTATACCAGGTCTATTTTAGTTGCTTGTGATAGTCTCTCAGTAAGCGTATTATTTCTGGCATCGATCTTGTGCAGTCGGCAATTTGAAGTGCTGCATTTTTACAATATAAAAGCTTGAGATTTTATTTTCTTTTTTTTCTTTCTCAACCCTTGACAGTTCAATTGGCAGATCAGTACCTGATTTTTTTTTTTTTTTTCTTTTTCTTTATAAGGCATTGATCAGGCTTACTGATATGGCTTATTTGGTCCCTGGACAACCAGCAGTTCCTGCCCATGTAAATGGAATATATTTCCCTATATATTGGTTTTCAATTTTTTGAAGACCACCTACTGGCATTTTGGGCAAAAGGCATTTCTGGAGAGGTGTCCAGACTAACGTGAAATGTTTATATCCTCCTGGGTGCAGATCAGAAATCCTGTATCTAAATACAGATATGAGTGCTATACTTGTTAACATTTGTGTGCCAGAGAAGTGTTTTCAAAGTAGTGTTGACCTTGCCCCAGAGTATCTAATGGTTAAACCTTTGTGTGCCTGATTTCATAGTGTGGGTTGGAAGTAATGCAAACTGGTAATGGTAGGGCAAGATCTCTGCAGGCTGAACAATTTGAAGGTTACTTCACAAATCTTTTCACTGGAGCCCCTGTGCAAAAAGATTGGATGGTCGTGGGGGAGGAGTTTTTTTTTTTTTCCTTCTAAATATTTCAGTTAAATGTAGAAAATGTCTCTTTCCCTAATTGTAACTATTTCTTATTTTTAGCTAAATGGTCTAAAAATGTTGGATGAGCCAATGGATGAAGTGGAGTCCTTAATGCCTTATGTAAGTGAAAACATTTTTCTGCTTTTATTCAGTAATGTATTTATTTTCCTAATTTCCCAGTGCCTCCCCTGCTCCTTGATGTCAAATCAATCCTCATCTATCCATTTTATCAGTTCGTTCCATTTGGTATATAAGAATCATTTGATTCTTTGAAATAGAAGCTCTCTCAATTTGCAGGCAACCGAGGTGACTACTAGATGGGTTTTATCATTCAAAGTGTGTTCTAGTGGTTATGGTACAATGGGTGCCCTGGCGCTGCCCCATTGTATGTAGCCAAGCTGGTTTGGAATGGTTTACCTTCTCACCTGGGGTCCACCGGGTATTGCTCTCAACTCCACTACTGCTACAGGAGAGTCGAAAGCTGCTTAGTAAATGATGTTGCGTCTCCTGTGCTAAAGCTGTGCAGGGCTAGTTAATTGAATGGGAGCATCAGCTGATCTCTTAGCTAATGATCTAAGCCCAGCAGCACCACTCCTAGCCCATACAATACAGAGAGTGTCTGGCCCTCCTGTAGCAGTAGTGGATGAGGGGAATAGTGACAGGTGAACCCCAAGTAAGAAGTCAGACCATTCTAAAACCTTTTTAGAATTCCTACATTGGGGTGTGTTCATCAAGGCACTCCTGGCACCATTACATTGTGTTCTAGTGATTATGCTGCATAGAATGTTCCTTTTAAGTACTACTTCCAAATGTAGAGGCAGTTAGGGTGGTTAATAGCCGTTAAAACGGTTTTGTTTATTACTTATTTTTCTTCCTTCTTTCTAATTTGCTTTTTTTTCTTCAAGAGAATTGGTTGTTAAAGTATAGCCTCCCGCACTGTACGCACTTGTGACTCAACCACCAAATGTCAGTTTGAATGTGTCTTAGTATCTGTTTGCATATCTATCTAAGGCACAGCTTGCATCTGTTTTACATCCTTGCCACAACCTCGCAATCTAGATATTTTGTGTTCAACATAAATTGTTTTAGGAAACCTGCCAGTTTGTCAGTAGCACAGCAGATACGCATGTCAGTATAGGGGAAAACATTTGAAACGCATGTAGAAATCAACAGTAATATATTATTTACATATTTTATGCCCAAGGTTCTCTGTTAGCACAGAAATCTTTAGTGATGTCACAGGTGGTCTCACCAGAGGATTTCTTTAGTATATACTCTGGAAAGCAGGCTGAGCACATAAACGCCCAATTATCGCAAATTCATTCCAATTGCCAACTCTTTTTTACAGCTTGACTATGTTTGCTTCCATTTTGCAATTTGGTTTTAATTCACAAAATGTTTTAGCAACCCCAAAAAATAAAAAATTTCAATTCTCCTTTCTTTGGTGTTGTTTACGGCTCCATGTTAATGAGTCTGCCTGCTGCTTCACCTTGCCGCTCCAAACCGTGATTTGGCAACCATTTATTCTTTTGGATATATGGATCTGATTGCAGCAGGGGTGTGATCATGCATTATGGCATATAGTGAGAGACATGATCAGAGGCTTGTGCGACCAGTGAATCCCTCTCTAATGATCTGGTAGATGCATCAAAATATGAATGTCTGTATGGTCTACCTTGGATTTGACCCATGTAAGAGATCCAGTATAAGAGTGCTCATGTGACATATAAAGCGCTGTTCATTACGAAGGTAGGAGAGAGAGCCATGCTATTGGATCAGTAGAGTAGGTTTGATATTTTGATCCTGTTATTTCTCAGTCTTACTCCGTGGCCAGGCACGCTAATGTGCCTCTTCTTTTTAGGGAAGGGTCTACCTGTGGAGTGCAGAACTTTCAAGAGTTTGTCGTTGCTCTTGGTTAAATATATGTATATTTAGTGTTTCCTTAGATCTTGCCTTCCTTTCCCCTTAATGTTTTTACTATAGTTTGTGTAATAACAGAACTTATTGAAAAATAGGTACTAGCGTTATTAGTAATGGATTAAATTGGGGGGGGGGGGAGAAATTCCAGAAAATATTACTTCGTAGCAGCCAAATAGTGTAACTTTCCCAAATAGCACCAAATAAATATAGAAGATGAAAGGTGTAGCGCTTATTTAAAGGTACAAATGACCTTAAAATAACTGGGTACATCCACTTATCTAGATCTTCAAATGTCTAAAAATGTAAATAATATAACAGTGCAGATCATTTAAAATCATAGTGGAGGTGAGAAATATATATAGGACACTCACAAACGGGGAGCTATAAGACCTAGCTCCGGTGTGGATAGTCTCGGGTCCGTTTAGGCGACTCACCCATGTATAAGGTGAATATCCAATCCTAGGGGACGCATATGAAACCAAAATAGAGTAGTACAGTTTTTAACCATCTTTCAGTGTGGCTGCGTATAAATTGCTAGGTTCTAATATGCCCTTAGAGCCCCCCTCCAACTCATGAGATTATTGCAATTAGGTATTTTTTTTTGTTTTTTATTATTATTATTATATTTCAGTTTAGATCTCTACGTATCACATTCTCAGGGTCACTGTGTCTGTTGCAGAATTACAATTTCCAATTCCTGCCCACTTTCCCGATAATTTTTAGTTGTTTTTTTTTTTTTATCTGCTTTATTTCTTATACATCTGTGGTTTTTCAGGAAACATTTGAGTTGTTTGCCTGAGTTGTGGTTGTGCCAACTGCATTTGCTCAAGATACAGAATGTTTTCTTACCCTATCTCTGATGATAGCTTCCTTTGTCAGCCTTGTGACATCTCTCCTGGGAAGCCTCAGCCTAACTTGCTGAGAATCTCATTCCTTTACCACATATGTTAGGCACACCGATAGTTTAGGTTCTGTGTATGCTGCTCTATTTTTCCCAGGTATGTAATCACTTGAAAATGAGCGGTGATATTGATATAATAACCAGACTCTCCATTTCGATCACCTTTCTGTTATTATGTTTAAAGTTCTGTTAAGATCTTTGCTGCTTCTGTCTACCTGCGTGTGACAACTTTTACTATCTAAAACAGATTATTTGTTGGAGAATGGAACTATCCTTACTCCAAGTAGATTGGTCAGATCACCCCTGATGAGCTCCATAACATACCTGGGATATTCCAGTCTTCAATCATAAACATTAACAGTTGTATGATGATATTGTAATCTGCAAGGATAGATAACATTTTCCTAATTGTTCTCACTCAAACTTTGTTGTAAAGTCCTGTTAACTCTGTCCTTTTTATCTAATCCAAATCATTTCAGCATGCAAGGAGCTCACCTGTCCATTGTATCCCTGAATTATGTTATTTTCAACTCCAGAAATATGTAAATATTTTTGTAATAATAAGCCCACCCACCACTTGATGACAGAATTGGAGAAAGCAAACCCTCCCCCTGTCATTTCAAATACCTTAAATATATAAAAAAAAAGAAAAAAAAAAATTCAGAACTTGTGCACTCATGGCGAAAAAATCCAAATGGACTGGACTATTTTGCACCTGATACATGCTTGCAGTGTTGTTTCATTAATGACTTTTCATAAATGAAACCACTGGGGTGTGATTTACTGAATTTCAATTAGAACCCTGGGTTTGTATTTCACCCACTGACAGGAACTAAAAATACTGGTCAGGCTGGCTACCATTTGGAAGGTAGCAAATTCTGCACTATCCAGGAAACATGGATAACAGCTATAGTGAGTCAGTGTTTTAATGTGGTGTCTGTTACAGAAGTGCATTTGGAATATTAATTTATTTTGTTTTTGTTAGGATGAAGGGAACATTAAAGAGATTCCAATTACCCACCATGTTAAAGAAGGGTGTGAAAAAGCGGACCCCGCACAGTTTGAACTGCTGAAAGTTCTTGGACAAGGGTCCTTTGGAAAAGTAAGACGTGTTGTTGTTCACCCTGCAGCCCACATCCTCCACTCACACCAATCTGCCTCCTTAGAGACTGGCTGGCCTCCCGCTTTCAGACACATATTTTAGAACTGTTGTTGACAATAAGTAAATTTGTTCCAGCATCCCCATACGTGTCATTAAACGGTTTTTCAGTACTCTGTATATAAAAACATTTCTGGGAAAGATGGTTCCTGGAAGATTGCTCCTTTATGTAGGCATTTTATATTATGTGGTTTACTAGAGGACCTTGGTAACTATTTTGTTTGGTACTGCTCCTAAAGTTATCTGTATGTTATTCTCAAACATATGTCACCAGTACTTTATCTGATAGGGAAAGTCCTCACTGGGAGCCCTTTCACCATTCTGTGTTCTCTGTATTCACGGTTGTTGAGTGGAACTGCCTATACAACATCGTATGAGAGCACATGGAACATGGTCCGTATCATGCCCTCATTGGCAGGCTGACAGTTCCTTATTAGCCTGGTGTCTGCTGCAGCTTGCAATAGTTTTTACTGCAGGACTCTGCAAATCCTTGGTGCCACTTAACTATTGTGACACAGAAATGACAGCTCACATCAAGATTCTTTCCCTTGGGTAGCCCATATAGGCTGTGGATAAGTGGGCTGCCTTGGCAGTTACCCAGCTTTGTTAGAGCAGGGCTTGGAAAAACTCCCCCAGAGAATCATGACTGACAATGCTAGTAGGATTCATTTGGCATAACATTCTCTCAACTCTTTGAGACCGCATTATGCTAAGGAGAACAAAGTGAGTTCTAAAGCTCTGACAGTTCTACAGAAATCCTCTTCCTCTTCCCTGCAGACAGAGAGGATAATTCAGTTAATAGCCAATGTCTATGTCATGTATGAATGACTGACCAGTTATACGTGTATCTGCATACATTGCTTAATGTGTGTAAGTCACAAATACATACGTATGTGAATATGTTTTGGTAATTAGATTTGTGTGTGAGTGACCAGTTACTTGTAGATGTGTTATCTTTAATGATGGCATGGTGAGAACATATTGTGTAATTCTATATGTAATTTGACTCGTCTTTCTAGAAGTACTTTGTTGACCTAAATGCAGACCAATTTAACGTTTTCTGTTGTTCTAGGTTTTCCTGGTAAGAAAAATCATTGGACCAGATGCTGGACAGCTTTATGCAATGAAAGTATTGAAAAAGGCATCATTAAAAGGTGAGCTGTATGTTTATCGTTAATATAACCTTATCCAGAGTAATAAAACATACGTGTGGACCTACATACCCACACAAACTGCTGTGATATAGATTGTGTTGCCATTTTCCCCCTAGATTTAATATTATGACCGTATTGAATTTATTAATAATTGTAATATGCCTACTAGTGGCTGCCTTGTTGATCTCAAAATCTTCTTGAAATATGAACAAAAAGGTCCCCTTTAGTTAAAAAGGCCTAAATTGCATACATTATGGTGATAAGACTGTTCTGTATTGGTCACCACAGTGGACCTATTCTCCAACATCACAGCAGGGCATTCCAAGGAGTACAACCCGTGGGGTAATTAGAAAAAAAAATAACTCTATCGATACAATGTATATTTGAAATTATTGGGAAATTCAAATGGCCTCTTCCATATTTTGTACGATTTTAATCCTTTTCAAATTGACGTCATGTCCCACAAAGCACATCTCTAAATGGAATTCATTAATTCCATATGTGACATTTGTTGCGTATAAAAGAATTGATGAAATGCCAGTACTGTTAAATTCCTCAATATACTTCAAGCCAAAATATTTTGAGATCTCTTTAAATTAAAAAAAAAAAAATGTAGCAGTCGGCATTTCTCATTTTGTACTGCTTGATAGGAAAGAGACTCATTACCATTCACTTAAAAAAAAAAAAAACACAAACAAAAAAAAACACTTTCATGCCATTGTAATATTCAGTCACAGTTGATCAAGAAAACTTTTTTTTATCTTCTTATGGATACTTTTTTTTTTTTTTTTCTCCCGTGGTACTTTCAATGCCCTATCTAATCATCTTTCCGTTACTTCCACCTTTGAGGCTGTGTGCTCCAGAGATCTTATTACACTTCCTCTTAATCATGTTTGTACATGACCCTGCTTTCTCCTCTATTCTTATGACCGTCTCTGATGGAAAAGCAATCCTGTTTTGTTTTGTGCTGCTGTCCTGACAAATTGCTGCATTAATACTGAAAAACATTTAATCTGTTACTAAAAGAAAAATAGAAATGACATGCTCTTTAACCATTTTGCGATTTTTAAATTGTAGCAAGATTTTTTTAGAAATGTTGCTGATATCCTTTTAATACTTGAGAAAGCGTATAGACTCTCCTGCACAAACAATTAACATGTCTGTTCTTTAAAACCGTGCATCCCAGACAATTTGATGTGGTGGGCCAGCTTTTTTCCCCTAATGTGTCAGGAGCCAGTTCAGTAAAGAGCTGTTGCAGATTTGCTGCATCCTATCAAGGCCACTGTGTGATTCTGGTGCTTTCCAGTGTGTGTTTGTCTGCTGTGTCTGTCAAAGATTACCTAATCCATGAGCTCTCTGCAAGAAGGCCACCACTTGGAAAAGTACAACAGACCAGTCTTCACAAATGGACCCATTGAGTTTTGTGGCTAAGCTATTCTGTTCAAAGTAGTGATAGAACCTGAAGGAACACTATAGGGTCAGGAACACAAACATGTATTTCCGACCCTATGTTAAAACCAACAATTAGGTGACATAGCCACCTTAGAAAGGGTTTAAAAGTACTTTTTTTTTTTTTTTTAAACTATGTATGTTATAAAGGAGTCAAAGCATTGATAATTGGTAAATTTGTCTTTTTCTGTTCTTTACAGTAAGAGACAGAGTTCGTACTAAGATGGAACGGGATATCCTTGTGGAAGTGAACCATCCCTTCATTGTGAAGTTACACTATGGTGAGTATCAGTTGTTTTGTTTTGCAAGAAAGCTTGTCATTAAAAAATTGTTAGTCCAATAAAAATACAAGATACAAATTTTATATTTTTTACATATATATGTATGTAGATGTAAAAAACAGATACAATTTGTATTGTAATACCTTTTATTGGACTAACAGAACTTTTTAATGACAAGCTTTCGGGAGAAACCTCTCTTTCTCAAGTCTGAAGCATTTCTGAGCAAGACGACACATAGAATTCAAAGTTGAGTTGTGATACAGGGGTTAAAGCGACATGAGTGCAGATAAGACACAGGTTTGTTAGAATATAGACACCATTTCTGCAGAGGGTCATAAATATCTTTCTGAAGAGCAGAGTGAGGGGGGAGAGGGAAAACAAAAACAAGCAAACAGTGCGGGAGATGGTGCACTTTATACATACACATACACACATATACATAAACACATGAACATATCTCTACATGTGTGTATGTTTTGTTATATATATATATATATATTCTCGCTATTCACCCTTGAAAAAGGCATTAGCTGATGCTCAAATATTGGAGGTAGGATGTTTGGTATAGATTTTATCAATATAGGCTTATGGATGAATTGGTTGCTCTGTTGGTTGTTTTTACAGAATTTAAAACATTATTATTATTGTAACTGTTGTCCTTTCTTCTCTAGTCTGTCTATTCTTTGTATCAGTCCAGGAGGGATCTCTGTGTGCGTGTGTGTATGTATATGTGTGTATATATATATATATATATATATATGTGTGTATAATTATAGTACTAACTTGTCTTTTTATTCCTTTTCAGCATTTCAGACTGAAGGAAAATTATATCTGATTCTGGACTTTCTCAGGGGTGGAGATGTATTCACGCGGTTGTCTAAAGAGGTAATTATCTATTTTTACTTTTTTTTTTGGTCTGTTAAGTTGTTAATTGCAGATACTTGTTGTGTGTGTTCTGTAACTGCTAACATGTGACATGGAAGTAAAAGGTGTTCAAGATCTTTGAGTAGTGTATGTTTAACAGGGCAGGTCATGTTGGCTTCTACATTCCACATAAATTAGCCAAACCCTGGTCCTTGGTCAGCACAGTAGTAGATCTTAAACTGGGGTGCAATGTAAGATGGTCTGCGAAAGGTAGCACTTAAACAGTAAATTGTAGAGAATTGATTTTAGGCCACAACTTTTAAGCTGGTTTGGGTCCCCCCTGTTTGGCTGTTTAATTTTAAAATGTATTATTGCCTCTTAATTCTCCCAAGTGTGTAAATAAACACACAAATGCTTGATGAAATCTAAAAATATAAATGACCAATTTCATCTGAATTTGCAAACAATTGGATGCATAAATAATAAAACTTTTTTTTTTTTTAATATATACGTTATTTAACGCTGAAATAATTTTTGTGGAATGACGTCGTAAAAAAAATCCTACGACCAATATAATGTTTACAATACAATGAAGTTAATCTCGACTGAGACACAAATAAAGAACCAGATCAGTGCTAATAATAAGCAATCTTCATTAAAGTAAATTAGTAGGAAACGTAATACAGGAGTGAGTCACACACAGGGTGTATTCTCACTCCACCCTTAAGTAAAACCTCAGTTTACACAATTCTGCCTGGATCACGCTACTTACAAGTTGCCTTAAGAATTTTCTGAAGTATTCCGGTTACCTTTGTTCTGACCAGTGTTCCAAAAAAAATAAAAAATACTTAACCAGACTGCTGTCTAAACAATAACTATATAGTAGATAATTTAAAATTCTGAGCTTTTGCTCGGGTTTTATCCAATTTTTTTAGAAATATCTCCATGATCCTTTTGACCTTGAACCCAGACCACCTACCACATTTACAGTGTCTGTATTTTTCTTTTGTAGAATTGAGTTTTCATTCGGGCCTTATTTTAAACACTGGACTGTTATTTTCTGGGGATTCTTATTTTGTAAGAAACTCCTTTCATTGCTTGCACAGTTGATTGTATTCTAACTATTCAGTCACCACACGATGACTGTCCTCACCTTTTAATATAATATCTGTCTGCAGGAGGCTGTCTATATAAGTTTTAGAATCCACTCCATTACAGTGCATCTTCTGCTAGAGTTTTACCAGTGATTAATATTAAAGTGATAAATGTGTGATTTAATTGAAAATCCTGCTTCTTGGCATCTACAAACTGGTGAAAGTTTTAATGTTCCGTGGTAGGTTATTGTGTGCGAAACAAACTGCTTTCTGTTCTTTTGTAATGGGGAACAGAGTTAAAGGAACACTTTTAATTTTTTATTTTTTTTTATGTATTGGATAACCCTGCAATTAAAACATACATATTGCTGCATTTTTTTATTTTTTTTATTTTATATCTAAAACAGCTTTAAAAAGCTGCAGGTCTCTTCTCTGCTGCTTTTGCAAGCCCTCCCCTTTTAGCCCAGCCCACTCTTTCTTTAACTGTCCAATCACAAACTTTCCAATACAGCTCAATGAGCATTCTTTGTAAGGCAGGTACTCTGATCAGTTGCTGCCTCTTGAGTTTAGCTTCACTGAGCTAACCAAACCAGGAAGTAGCAGGACAGATTGTTTGACAGTCATGTAACCAGGTAAATTTGTTTTCACTGAAATTTCTACTTTTTGTAAAACGAAAACTCTTCACACATAAAGCACTCTAGGAAGCCATTGTGCTCTAAGTGTTTGGAGTGTTCTTTTAAGTTGCTGGAAATGGACTGGAAAAGGTCATTAAAGATGTAGGAAGCTGGAATGCGCATACGGTCTGGGGGAGTTTTCCAGAGAGCAGTTATTAACAAGTTGAGGAATATATCTGTAGCGTTGAATAATCAGTTTAGCAATACAATTGTTTATACCGTATTATGCATTTATCATATTGCATTTTAATAATGAGTAAATAGATCCTGTCCATATTTATTATGTTTAACCTAGTGGGTACTACTGTGTCCACTCTATGATTTCCCTCAGGATATTTTGAAGACTACGAGAAGAGGGGAAAAAAAAAAAACAGGAAGGGGTTCACTCAATAGCATTCAAATATTTAAGCCGGTCTAATAGTAGACTTATATTTATTTAGTTTGCTTATTATCAAATGGATTATATGTCCAACTTATTATGTATATCTGGAATTGTGTTTTAGCTCAGCCTGGGTAAGTAATAGACTCATTTAACCCCTTAAGGACACACAACATGTTTAAGAGGTTATTATTTTTATTAATTTCTGAGTTATATCCTGATAGCAACTACAACATGGGTTTAATTCCTCGCATCTTGTCCTGAATATATACATCATATGTCTACTAAGCTTATATCATTCTTATATTTGTATATGGGTATTTTAAGCTTAGTTTCCCAATTTTGGTCTGGTTCCACATGATAAGCTCATAATCTATAGTCAAAGACATTATTTTGTCTATTGAGGGTAAGCTTGTGGTCTTCCAGTTTCTAGCTATGAGAATTGACACTATAGGTAGTAATAAAAATATCAGTTTGCACATAGGTTTAGTGATGTTGTTCGGAAAGACTTTGAGAAGTAACATTTTTGGTGTGTGATCCAACTTATAAGATGTCACCCCTTGAATCCTTGTTTCAACCTCTCTCCATAAGCTGTTAACTCTTTCACATGTCCACCATATATGTAACATAGTTCCTTTATAAGAGTGGCATCTCCAACATGTGTTGGAGATGCCACTCTTATAAAGGAACTGTAAGGATGTGATAAATGTTTGTGGGACCTTAATCTGTAAAGCTCTGAATAGGTAAAGTATTTTTTGTAAAATTTGCATCTTAATTGACGATATTTTACCTACCCATGATAATAGGTACCTTTTACCGTCCCCAAGATTTCAGTTGGCTTTCTGTATCCTTAAATAATTTTGTATAGTTAGCTAAAAATAGGTCTTTTTCCTTTTTTGTAAATCTAATTCCCAGATACAGGAGATAATCTTCCCTCCAATCGTAATGATAGTCTTATTTAAGTCTATCTTCTCGAAATTTAGGAATATTAAGGCACATTGCTTGCGATTTGCTTGTAGTACGAATTTTGACTATATAAATAGTTCTTTCTTTAGATTTGGTAAGGAGATGTGTGGTTGAGTGATCATTGATAAAACATCTGCATAAGCGTTGTGTTTGTATTCACTCCGACCTGTTTGAACTCCCTGTATATCTTTATTCTGCCGTATAGCTGTAAGTAAAGGCTCTAAAGCAAGAACATAGAGCATCGGTGATGCTTCTTTAAATGAGCCGTGATTCACATCCCAGTAAATATTTCTCCCCCATCAAAGCATATCAGTTAGATGAGTGAAGAACATTATTGTGGAATGGGAAATTCCTATACAAGGTGAAAATAAACAGTTTGAAGCTAACTAAGGGAGGGTTCCAGAAGTTCTTTCATTTAAACGTGCATGTGGTCATGCATAGTTTAAACTTTGCCATTTTACAAGTATTTGAGATCTCGCTCATTAAACGAGAGGGCAATGAGACATTTTATCCTGTCTCTTGCATTTTAAAGTAACCTTTTTGTTAGCGTCCAGCCTGACTAATGCCATTAAATACATACGTTTAGAAGTGTTGGGTAGGGAATTTTTGAGGTCTGAACCAAGAAAACCTTGCTATATTTTATTTATTACTGGTATTTATAAAGCGCCAACATATTCCGCAGTGCTGTACAAGTAGAGGAGAACGTACAACGAACACAAACAAATACGAAAGGTAGAAAGGGCCCTGCACGTAAGCCGAGATCTAGCCATTGAAGCTCTTTTATACAAAGTGCGTAGCTAGATGGCCAGTGAGCTTACAATTTAAAGGATATAATGGGGATTTGAGACAAGAGGTAGCAGGGAGGATGGCTGTTCTGTAACAAGATTGTATTGTTTGAGCACTCCACAAAACACTTAATTGAGATGGCTCAATGTGTTAATGCATTTCTGATTTAAAAAAATAAAAAATAAAATACATATGACCTGATTCACATGGCATATAATTCTTCATGCAATAAAACTTACAAAACATGAACATATAGTGAAACTTTTTAATTTTATATTGATTGAAGTGACCCAATAAGAAATTAATTGGCTTGTGTGAAGAAAATTAATTTAGTTGGAGAAGAGGAGGATGGAATAAAATAGAATTTTCAATTAAAATTTTATTTTATAAATTGCCATAGAATGGCATGGGAAACTATTAAGATACCAGTCGGTATCTTGTTTTCTGTAACTTTGTCCAGAAGGCCATAATGCACTAAATGGTAATTGAATGATATATTTAGCTTTAAAATGTAGTTCAAAGACTTCAGTTGTGGAGCAACTCTACACTATTAGTCCACAATGTCTCCAAAAAAGGCTAGTTGCATAAAGAGACATTATAACTCAGGGATATCAACATGCAGCTCACCCCAGTTTATGTTAAACTACAAATTTCCTAGTTCTCTAACGTCCATACACTTCAAGTTTTCGTCTAGTTTGGGCCCTCTGTTTAGTGGCTGAGCAGTCAGAACGGGACCAAAGTACAATCAATTGAAAAGAAACTGTTTTCCTGATGTTTTGTGATGCGAGGGACAGTGGTATGCACATTTCAATACCACCGTAGCAGAAATGAATTCCTGCACTGAGAACCCAGCTTGTATTTCTGCTTCCCACTTGCACATGGAGAGTAATGTGCCATCTGTTGGTGATCGAAATATTGGCACCCCAGATGAGAGCAATGTAATCTTTAACACCATGTATTACTTACAGTTGAGTAAGATAAATGTTTTTTAAAAAAAAATTGCTTTTAAAGGTCATTTAGAGTAGATATTGGGGACCAATATTGGGCGGAATACATCCTTTCATTCTTAAGAGGAACTTGTGGAATAACCATTTTAGAGATTGCTAAGTACTTTAGGGCATGATCCTAACAAATTATACAGGATTATTCACCAAAGTGAGAATTCAAAGTAAAAAAATAAAATAAAATCGTAGAACTAGAAAAATTCTCTAGCCCACTATGCTGGTAGTTCACTCTGAATTTACTTTGAATTCTCGCTGGTGATTGTATGGTACAAAAATATAAGCAGCTTTTGGTTTTCATATTAATTGCTGCTATGTAAAGACAGGGTTTTCATTTAGAGTTCTGTGTTGGAAATGTTTGATGCAAGTATAATTACGCAACAGTTAATATTCGTTTTTATGCCTGGAACATCTTAAAACGCCCACCTGTCTTCTCCTGATAATGTATGATTCATGCATGGAGGTTAATGCCAAACCAAGAGGAAAAATACCCCTGTTATGAAGGAGGATTTGCTGCACATGTGTAATCATGTAAGCTTTTTAATTGAAACTACCCCATCACGATTAAATATTTGTTTTACCTTGTAGTGCCTGTAATAGCTCAACAGTTCAACCATGTGAGCTGTGAAATAATTACATTAATTCAGCCGGTGTCTTAACGATTTTGCATCACCTTTTCTCGATCAGTGCAGAAAATGCTGACCTCTATTGTAATATTTATAGAATAGAATTGGTTAAAGCTACCGGAATCATTTTATAGACCTGTAGAAAATATTACTGGCTACCAAGAACTATGCAACCAAATAAAATAACTCTCTGGACTGTACTCTGCTGACTTTTATTAATCCTCATGGAAACTCCTTAGAAAGGGATCTTTATTGAGAAATATGTGAATACAAGGCCCAATAAAGAGCCACATACATGTGAATACAAACCATACAAAAGTAAATACTATATCTGATCTTAAAAAACGCAGAAAACAGAAAAATAAGAGGCTGCTGGGCGTTTAAGGTCTACACTGATACTTTAAATAAATTCAATTACCTATACATGGACATATAGATATACACATACACATGTTCATACAGGAGAACTCACAGGTTAAATGTATAACATGTTCTTAAGGCTCTTACAGTTGAATCCGTATTGTTTTTTATACCTCTTTATAGCATTACAGTATTTATTTTTATCACCTCTTGTGTGAATTCTTTATTTTTTTATTTATACAAATGTATTTTCTAATTAAGTCTTATGTTTAACTAAAAAAATATTTATTATAACTGCACTTTGTTTACCATAATTTACGAAGACACTTAAATAGTCATTTAAAGTATAAAGATAGGTCATCTGCCCCTGTTTTTGTCGGTATGGTGTTCGTTCTAATTCTTTATTGCTGTGACGTTCTGTCCTGCTATTGGCATAAAGGCTTTTTTTTTCAGATTAATGCCCCCAGTGTGTAGTACCTGTCTCCCTGCTTGTTTAAATCCTGGCATCACTCGTGCTGAACTGGCAAAGCAGTGATAGCTTTTTGTTTTTGGCAGTAATATTGTATTTGATGGAAACTGACAAGGTCCATAGTATCCCATAAAGTCAGGTGACTTCCAGAGCTTATCAGAGACCTATGTGTTGCATGCTATGAATATTATTGTATTACTGTAGTGTTAGAATTGAATGTACATCTCAGAAGGTAAATCTATACAGTTCTTATTAGGTTATGTTTACAGAGGAAGATGTAAAGTTCTACCTGGCAGAGCTGGCCCTCGCGTTGGATCACTTGCACAGCCTTGGGATCGTATACAGAGACCTGAAGCCTGAAAAGTACAGTAACCTCTATTACCTTCTTTCATCCATACATAGATAGTTATGTGTCTTACAATCCTTGGACAAGGTTCCAAAAGTGGAGCATTCCATTGGTTTCCATGGTGATTGCTCCACTTTTGTTACTTTGCTCCAGCATTGCTCTTCGTACGTCATCCCTTATATTCTTGAAGTGTATTTAACACTTGCAAAACATAAATTTCAATGATATATATATATATATATATATATATAACATAAATGTATTGCATGTATCGTGCTAGCAAGTTATTGGTAATATTTACTCTTACCATTTTTAGTTTTTGTGTGTGTCTTCCCATCCCACAGTGCTTTCCCAGCAAGATTTGACTCTAGCCCTGTTTGCATGCTTTTGGGGAGTTCTTAACAAAGACCAGAGCTGCCACTGGGAATCGAAAGAACATCTGCAGCGTTCATTGTATGTTCTAAAGTAGTCTGTTTAATTTAGCAGTGGTGTCTGCGCTAAGCTGTCCAGGATTTTCATTCTGGCCTTATTAAGACCCATTTTTATTCATTAACCGGTGACAAATTGCTAAATTCTAGCTAAATATCCAAGCTGTGAATTTAGCGGGGTGAGGGAGGACTTTTTTTTACCTTTTGCAATTCTGTTTTCAATTTACTAAAATTCAATATTTGGTTAATAAACCCTATTGGCATCTAAAAAATATCATAGTTTACATATTTATACTTCATTTTGCAATTGACATGGAAATCAGGACTGAGACTTTAAACCGCTGGAAAATCACTAACACAATTGATAAGTCGATTTTGTTTAAAGCCTTTAAATTATTTGACAAATTGTATTATTAGCCAAGGCTAGCCAAAATTTGTCTCTTTCACTGATGAACAGCAGAGTGCACCTTCTTAAGACCAATTCAGGTTCCAAAAGCTTACTACTTCTGTTATAAAGTGAGAAATACAGCAGACTTATTTAGAGTACAGAGATTCCTTTTACACCCAACCAGCAACCTTTAAAAATAAATTCTACATCATATCTCTGTTCCGTGTTCCAGAAAGGCAATGTTTCTAGATCCAGGTGTCTTAGTCAAGCCTACAAAGTTTAAATGCTTGTAAAATACAATGACAGCACACAGATTGTTGAAACTGCCTTTGTGTTGGCTAAACTAATAAACACATACATGGAAAGAGAAGAGTTTTTGTATTTTTTATTTTTCTTTGTTTTAATAACCTGCATGTGTACTGTATTGCCTTGTTTAAAGTTAGACTAACATGACTCCTTATTTTACCATCTGTATTGCTTGTGAATTGTTGTCTTTACTTAATAAAAACTTTATTATGTGCATTGGTGAATGTGAATTTTAATTTTCAGCATTTTGCTTGATGAAGCAGGACACATCAAGTTGACAGGTAGGTCTCCTCCTCCTGCTACACTTATAGTTAATGTTAAAATAAAAAAGAACAGAAGTGGGGGGGAGAAACACACACCGTATTTTAGGTTTCCATGGTGTTGCCATAGCTTCCATTATTTATTTTTTAACATATCATGCAGTTTGTCTTGACATGCTACCTTATCACCAGCTGACACGCAAAGTTCAATTGAATTCACTAATTGTCCTAATGTGCACATAATGTATATCAATATTTTACCATATTTTTCACCTGACCTACATTTTAAAGAGAACAAAGTTACCTTCCCCCCCCACCCCCACTCCCCCAAATTAATATGCACAGCTGTGTGTTTAATTTAGAACAAAGGCTACCAAAGAATGCTGAATACCTTTGCTTATTTATCAGTATTTTGGGCACCTCCACTACAAAATTACGTTTTACCAAAATTAGATCTTGATGAGCCATACAACTACTCATAGTGGATCTACTTTTTTATCACATGCTTAGAATTCACTGCTGCAAGTTTCGTTAGGGTGCACTTTTGCCATACTTTTGTTTTCCAGATTTTGGCCTCAGCAAGGAATCTGTGGATCATGAAAAAAAGGCATATTCTTTCTGCGGTACTGTAGAGTATATGGCACCAGAAGTGGTAAACAGACGGGGCCATACACAGAGTGCTGACTGGTGGTCTTTTGGGGTCCTTATGGTATGTTAAATCAACCCAGGACATACTTGAAAACGAGAGCGATCTCAATGTATCTTTCCTGGTAAAATATTTTATAAATAAACCAATCTGGTTTTAAATATGTATGTACTTGTTTTTTTTTGTTTTTTTTTATTCCTTTTTGTGTGTGTGTGTGTATTCTACTATGCTGTATGTTGATAAAACATTTATTTTTTTTCTCATAAACATTTCACTGCAAGATCATTATAGGATACATTTTATTTTGAACGCTGTTTTATTCCTCTGTGAGTGTTTATGCACGAATCATGTGAATACTACTATTGAAAGTGCGTATAGCCACTTAATGCTTTCCACACTGTGTTCTCTCTCTTTCAGTTTGAAATGCTAACTGGTACTTTGCCGTTTCAAGGTAAAGATCGAAATGAGACAATGAATATGATTTTGAAGTAAGTATTTTTCCTTTTTTTTTTGTGTGTGTGTGTGTGTGCATAATCATATTTAAATTGCTACCAAGGTCCTGGTAAATACTGTATGGTGATGTGTTTTTATATCACATATAAAAAAAAAAAGCTGAAAAAGGAAAATAAAATTGGATGTTTTGTAGAAAATGTCCTTCACACATCAGGGACTCCTATGCATGATAACATATCCCCACCTATGTTAAACCTGTATTCATGTTCCTCAAATGGTCTTTGCCCTAATTTGTAACCAAAGTTGAAGCCCTCCATGTCTCCTGAAATGCTCAGGTATTCTCCTAAAGCCTAAGTAATTCATTGCTCAAACTTACAAAAAAACATATTTGGTTTTTATTTTTATTTTTTTGAGTGGTGGTGGTTTTGTTTTAAAGAGTAGATGGTCGGCAGGGCAGCATCTGTTTTTCTAGAATTGCACCCACCCAGTTGTTTTGTTAGCCGAAGGCTGGTAAGAGACTCACCCTGTTATGGAAAATATTTTCTGAAGTGGTGTAAATTTACCCCCTATCCCCAATAAACAAAAATGGTCTCCGCTAAAGAAAAAGTGCAATATAAAAAAAAGCATATAAGTTATGAACACACTTTAATAGTACTTTCATCTCATCTTAAAAGCAGCAAACTACTTTTGGGCTTGCAGATGTTTGGACTACATTTCACACAATGCTCGGACACCAGGGAAATATAGTTCAGAGACATCTGCTGTCACAAGATGATGTAGAGTAAGAGACTTCCATCTATTCCACAGATATTGGGAAGGTAGATATTTGCCTCCAGGGAGCACAATGTAATCCACAAAATATAGTTTGAAGGAAAAACAATATTGTTTTGTATGAATGTAATTTACAGTGAAGCTTTTCAGTGCTTGGATAAAATCTTAGTTTTCAACAATTTCATCCTCAGATCAAAGCTTGGGATGCCGCAGTTTTTGAGCCCCGAAGCGCAGAGTCTGTTACGAATGTTGTTTAAAAGAAATCCGCTGAATAGATTGGGTAAGTGATGAACGTAAGAAGGAAGAGACATTTCATAATTTGTGTGCATGTCATTTTATTCTTTGAGTTTTCAGATGTTTCGTCAGACTACAACAAAGTGATGAACTTGTTATATGCATGGAAAGATAATGAAGATAAAAGCAGCTGAAAATCATTCTCTTCCATTTCCCTAAATAAATGTATTATTTATTCTAATCTTTCTGGAACTCTTTTGCCTTCACCACCACTTATCCCATGCATTAACAATCTATTCCAGTGGTAGACAACCTTCAACACTCCAAATGTTGTGGACTACATCTCCCCTGATGCTTTACCAGTGTTAAGACTGCAAGATCATTATGGACGGGGGATATAGTCTAATATAAATACACAAGAACGGCTCAAAAACGGGGAGGATAATTAATGTATACAAATAACACAATATCACTAGGAAATAAAGTGGGCTGCTTTACAACTAATATGAGCGACTATTAAGGATGAAAGATCAACAATAAGTGTGAGCGCTCCAATAATAAAGAACTAGATAAGTATAATAATGTCCACCACTTCAGCAAGATCATTATGGGCGGGGGATATAGTCTGCAATATCTGGAATGCCAAAGATTGCGAACCATGACCTATTCCATAAGCAAAAAAAATATTTTTGTAAACTAGCAATGGGTCATGTTTTAATGGCTCATCTGTGCATGAGAATCTTTAGTGTTGGGTTCCTGTGTCTGCAGAACAACTTGGTGGCATTATTTTCCCATAAGTCATGGTTCAGTGTATAATTTCATTTATATTGTTCAGGTGCTGGGCTCGACGGTGTGGAAGAAATAAAGCGTCATCCTTTTTTCTCGACAATAGACTGGAATGTGAGTTTTCGTTAATAAATTGTGCCAGAGATACTCTACAATATGGTATAAACGTTACGAGCTTTCACTAATCCGTGAATCACTGCTGAGGAGTACATTGACAATTTTTTTAAAATAACATTTGTCAACTTGAATTACAACATTTAGGCAAAAGTTCCCCCTACTTGATTTTTGACCTGTCACTCTGGTGTCTGGTTACCATACATTAATATTATTTTTTTCACTCTGCATTCTCCGATATGTATATGTCTCTGTGTATGTGGATGATTGATAGCAAACATCACTTTAGCAGTAGGGTAAAAGAAATTTGAGCAAATCCAAAATACTGCAATACTCAAACTGCTGTTTCTATAACCAGTTCATAAAGACTAAGTTGTACAGACTTTTGTGTGGATTTATCATTTTTACATGCTTTGAATGTTATAATCTTTGCGAAAAAATATTGTTTACATTTCCTCCCAGATACCTCTAGCCCAAAAATGTTGTATTTTAAATGTGATTTTTATAATTGCATTTTTGTTTTACTTTTATCTGTCTATAGATATGAAATATGTGTTTTATATATGTTTGTGTTTTCAGAAGCTATATAGACTGGAAATACAGCCCCCGTTTAAACCTGCTTCTGGTAAACCAGAGGACACCTTCTGTTTTGATCCAGAGTTCACAGCAAAAACACCTAAAGGTACTACGGACTATTTTAAGGTGTATTTTTTTCTTTGTATTATATATTTATCATTAAAGAATGGCTGCATTTCTGTGTGATGTTTATATTTTTTCTTTTTTAAATTTTACGTAAACCTTTTTATATAAAATTCATATCTCTGTGAGTGGAGTTTTAATCACTTTTATGTATCTCTATATAATTTCTATATAGAAATCTTTCTGTTCTGGAGTTACATCAATTTGGGAAATTAGTTCTCAGTGAATTTAACTCTTTGAAACATTTTAAGGAGTTTTTCAACAGAATCATGGAATACCTAAATTTATAACAATATACTCTGAATTGGTCTTTTCAAAAGAAGTTCCATTCCCAATATGAGAACATGTTGTCATAACATCTTTCCTCTGTACTTGACAGCCTGTACTGCTCCTTGTCTGTCCAACCCTTTCCTCCTTGTAACCATTACCCTGACCAAATAAATGTAATATGTGATGTGTATTTAATAGCTAGTCAAGAGAACCTCCCCTTAACACAAAGGTGAAGGTTCTGCTATTAAACATCTCTAATGTAATGCATAATATTTCTTCCTATAAATACAAAACCGTAGACCAGTGTAAAATCTATATCACTTTGGTTCTACTTGGCAATCAGACTGGACCTTTACATATAGTTTGTCAGTTTTAAAAAATACCTGGGTGAGTTTGCATTATGTCATTTCTTCCACACCTCCTCCTAAAAGACCATTCTAATTTCCTGACCTTACGAGCAAGACCAAATTACAGGAGATGGGTATTGTGTTTAAAGTGCTGATCTGCTGAAAAACTTACGTAGGCATTTGTTGAAGGAAATGTCTGATAGACAAAGCAACGTCCTTGATTTACCTGCTGCTCGCTTTCATTAAAGTTCTCTAATCTTATACAGTGCATATTGCATCTCTCATGTTTTTAGTTACACATACTATTTGGTGCTTGACACTTTCTGTGTTATGTGTCTGTCTCGGTGTATACCCTTTTCAGGAAGTTATTGTCTGCGAGGTTTGTTCACTTGTAACAGCAGAAAAAGAACGAGCAAGCTGCAATTTGTAGATCAAGATTGCTGAACTGAAAAAATAGCCGAATTGGTGAATTTTGCACAGTTTTCTTAGTTTTGGACTAAAAGTTGTAATTCCCTAGTCCTTTCGTCTTGGTGCCTGGTTTCTAAAATTTAACGTACGTTTCTCTCATTTAATCTGAAAACTACTTTTGACATACAGATTACAATTATCTACAGTATATTTCCTGTTAAATACAGTGTATTAGATTGTAACTGGTATGAAACATGATTTTGTTTTTTTGTTTTTTGTTTTGTTGTTTCTTTTCTTTTACACAAAGTGGCACGATCTCTCTTAAGTCAGACTAAATACCTTTTCCATGATTACTGTGAGTTCTGTTGTTTATTTCTACCCTGCTTTGATACAGAATTTATTTCTAGATTATTTGGAATAAGAGCTCAAGCGTCCCTTTACTACTCTGCTTTCGATGCCTTCTTAAACTATGTTAAAACTATCGTTATTTGGGGGCAGAGCCTGACCGCCAAGCAGTAAAGACGTGGGCAACACGAGCTCTCGTCTGATGGGCTAAATTTGGGGTAAAATCAGCGGCAACATAGCCCACAGACTCACCGGGTTGCGCTACCCATGTTGGGAGTGCACCACGGAACCGAAGGACAACACTCTGAAACCCGTCGGGGCCTACTAAAGTTAGAGCTGGGTCAAGACGGCCGCTCACCCCGACACCAGACGTACCAAGCGACTCCACTGGTCTCCTACACCCCACCTCTGGACCGGTGGGGGTTATCCCGGTCCCCACTGGGAGAACGGACTGAGGCACCAACCATTACCCCAACTGACTGAACACAGCAGACGCCTCAAGGTACTCCGACCTCACAAAATGGCGGAGGCCCTACCACAAGCACCATAAACTCCCGCACAGGCACGAGGGCCAATACCAGACACTCTTGAATCCAGACTGGACGCATTGTTCCAGGCATTTTGGAACAAACTACAGACCTGTGCCATTGCCGACCAACCCAACCAGAGCACGGAACGGGAGGCAGGTGATACCTCTCCGGGCAATATATTTATCATAACGCCTCATTGCATCAACGGCTGCCTGCCAGGGCTGATAGCCAACAGAGGCATGGCCTCGAAGCATCGACCACACAGGGGGAAGAACGCACGTCGCAGGCGGCAGATGTCACTGCCATTTTCCAACTGCCCCTTGGGGGGCCAGGACTGGGCCGCATGTAGGTACTGAGTCCGTGGACGGAGGGTGTCGGCTATCACCACAGCCTGTGGCTGGAGGACAATCTCCTGCACCTGTTGCCCATCGGTTGAACATGACAATCACCACAAACAGCCAACTACCCACAAAGCTGCTAACCCTTCCGGGCTGCAACAGCCACGCAAGCGGAAGATCACCCGCCATGACCAAAGTCACCCACGACCCTCCACAAACCTAAGGCAAGGGACGGAATTGATCCACATGAACACCAGGGACAATGGACTAGTGATACTTACCCTTCTGCAGACCCGGAGTTGGAAGAGAGCCATGAAATGGCACACTGCGGTAGATAACCATTGGGACTCCCCTACACTTGTATCACCTCTGCCGCTACTGGGGATCGGATGACCGGGCACCCACAACCACACCCAGAGATCCTGGTAACTCACTGAAGACACTGAGCGAAGGGACATGCCTGATAAGAGACTCCCCATTTATTGTTGAGGAAGTACTAGCTAAGCTTTGTTTATTTAGTTGCTTATAATTTTGACCTAATCGGTTGCACAGTTTACTATTCCTAGGCCCAGAACCCAGTGGTATAATGTTCTTAATGCATGCCAGACTCAATGTTTAACTAGCCTGTCTACTCACAGACACATCTGCCTAGAAATTTTCAGTCCGATGTCACTAGCCTGTATAGTCACACAAAAAGTCATAAGATTGTAATCAACTGCTCGAACACAAGAACATAGCACGTCTTGGATAGCAGTCTATGTACATTATATATACACTACTACTAACCTAACCACACTAGCCTGTTTTATTATCTAGCATATTGTACCCACGCTACCTATACTGTTACTAGAGCAGCTTAAGTATTACCTTGACAATTGTACCTTACAGTTATGGATGTGTTAACAATCTACTTACGCTTAAAAAAGCTGAAGCTTCACGGAGATATCATCAACTGTATTGTTATACCCCCGTTTGGAATGTATCTTAACTGTCTCCCCTTCTTTCTTCTGTTCCCATGCAACTCTATGCCTCAATAAAAGAAAGATTGACAAAAAAAAAAAACTATCGTTATTTATGTGTGTACCTGTTTTATATAAATTCATTCTGTTTACAGTCTTCTATAATTTTGAAATAGAGCATTTTCGTTTGTAAACAGAGGGAAGCTATTTTGTCTTTCATTTTCTGCAATGTAAAAGCTAAACCTATTTTATAGAAAGATGACAGCTTGACTGATTTGTCTTCTTATTTCTAGACTCTCCAGGCGTTCCCCCGAGCGCAAATGCTCATCAACTCTTTAAAGGTTTCAGCTTTGTAGCGACATCATCTATTGAAGACCATAAGATTTCCTCGATTACAAATGTGTTGCCAATTGTACAGGTAAAAAAAAAACCCCCCAAAAAACGACTTTATTCCAAATAGAATGCATAGTTTTTGTTTTGATACTTCATTCTCTCTTTCTCTGCCAAAATCATTGTAAGATGGTATTTGATAATGATCTATACACTGGAGGATTACCAAAGATGATCTTTAGTTCCACATCTGATCATATTTTTCTTTCATTTATAAGACTTCATGGTGGCAGAATATAGTTTACACTTTGCGTATTTTGTGTTTATGTAGTCTTTTTGTAACTTTGCAGTCTATTTCACGATTTTGCTTGCATATATAAATACAGACATTTAGTGCAGTGAGAGCTGCTGGTGATTTCAAACTAGTTATCTGTTTTCACCTTGTTAAAAATATCAGGGACTTTTTTGTTGGTGGGTCATTAATTCATAGGGCTTTCTGCAATCTTAGCACTTGTTATGGCCGAATAACTGGCAGATTTTAAGCAATAAACATGCAAGTTTCCCTTGTTTCTAAGATATTAATGTTTATGTACATTATGGTTAAAGGATCACTACAGCATTAGGAATACAAACATACATTCCTAATGCTGTAGTGTTCCCTGCCCCTAATCAGAAATAGATCCCCCACACCCCCTTCCCCTCCCTTTACAATCAAGATAAAAACATATAGTGCTTTATTTACCGTTTTACAGCCCCCAGGCTCCCTTGGTACTGCTTACCTCCCAGTCTCCCACAATGTCATGGAGGACGCAAGACCTCCTCTGCCGATATCCAATTTAATTCTCTTCAAAGTTCTGGGAACATAATGTGCATGTGTGATGAATGCCATGCACACATTAAAATTTCCCCAGAGGAAAGCATTGAATCGCAAGGAATTGCCACATGCTCAAATCTACTTTCACCAGCCCTCTCCAAGTATACTAAAAGAACATGGTAGTTCTTTGCATGTATTGACTTTCCATGTATACATTGTACTTGTCAAACCGCTAGCAGAATCCAAAATGGTGTGTATTATAAATTGAAGTTTGCAGCATATATATCTCTATGCGCATCAGATAAGAAGATATATTGTACACCTATTCTGTGCTTTGAGATAAGCAGACAAATTGTCCGTTACCTTTGGTTACCATAATTGCAATGCCATTATACAAAAAAAATGGCTGTAAATCCTACATACTCCTGAATACCCTCAAGGTGAAAATAACTCTTTATTCTACTAGTCATTTCTTTATTTAAATAGGATGTATTAATGTAGAGAGCCAGAAATGGTAACTTTATCTCACTGTGCAAATACAGACCACAACTAGAGGCACTTCCTACTTTTAACCTTTGATTTTCGAAAGGCTTCACATTCAGACCGAATGCAGCTAATGCTTTTAATAAATTGTATGTGAACAGCATCTATAATTGCTCAAAATTCATCAGAATTGACAGCTCACCTGAGGGCGATCCTGCTGAAGACAGTCTCAGCGCTTGAATAATGGAAAGTTTCACTAAAATTTTTTATTTATTTTATTTAGCAAAAAAAAACACTCCATCTAATCCTAGAGCAAACCTATTTAATACATTTTTTTTAAAATTGATATTACTTTGTCATTACATCTAATGGGTTAATGAGGATTTTATATCATACAGGTTAAGCTGTGACTCACAGCTGCAGAGTTGAATCATCTTCTATTCCTCTTTTTCTTTGTAAATATCAGGTATAAGGCAAACCACGCAAGGGTCAAACCGGGGTTTTATTAAGTATTTTGTGCTAATTTCCTTCCCATTAGCACTTGCAAACAAGGAAAGCATAATGGTATCATCCACAGTTGCATGCAATGTGCTCTATCACACAATGTTACTGTCTGTAAGGGGCTGCTTGTGAGTTTGTCTGGTAATGCTGAGCCTTCGATGTGCACTTTAGATGAGGCATCAGCAGCTTTATAATGGGATTTATGGTTGCGTGTCCGTTCCTGATGACTTCACATTTAAAGACAGTTATTAGTCAGGCACCCAGTGTTCTCAAGCAGAGTTTCCAAGTAATATCTGGCTTTTTCCAATACAATTGTGTGTGTACAGGGTCACATTGTTTGCCTGGAAAAGCTCCGCTTACACTCTTAGATGCCCCTGCACAGCTCTGTGTAGCTCAGTGGAGCTCACCAGCAGAATCCAAACGCAGGCTCTGCAGCAGTGGGTGCAACAGTTCTCTTCCCTCGTTATATCTAAATTTCTTCGATAGGAAAGAGTTCATGCTTACTTCATTGGATGAAAACACTTCTAATTTTACTTTCAGATATGAAAGGCTACAATAACTAAACCTGTTTGGCTTCCTTGACAGCAGAGCTCGAGGCTAATAAGCATCCAAGTTATAAATTGCTAGTCTGATTAAAAGTTATGTTAAAGGAACACTCCTAAAGCATTTTTAGTTTGCTGAAGTGCTTTATGTGTGAAGAGTATCTCGTCTTATTTTTATTTTTGAAAAAGTGCAATTTCTATAGAAAGTCACTTTTATAAATTTTACCTGGTTACATTCCCCTGGCTGTCATTACCATGTTACATTACCCTGTCCTGTTGCTTTCTGGTTTCTCAGTGAAGCTAAATTCAAGAGGCAGCAATTGTCCAGATCACCTGCCTTGCAAAGACTTCTCATTGAGCTGCTTTGAGAAGTCTGTGATTGGACAGCCACAAAAAGTCTGGGCGGGGTTAAAAGGGGAGGTCTTTTCAAAGGCTACAGACAAGACCTCTGCAGCTTTTGCATGCTGATTTAGATATACTCCCAATGAAAATAAATGCATCATTGGGAGTATATTTACTAAACAGTGATTTGTTCATTTATTTTTAGTTCAAGCAGTGAAGTGCTCTTTTAAAGAAGCAACTATCTGGATCCATCTCTTACATTGCTGAACTAATATCATTCTTCTTACAGGAGAGCCTCTTTCTGAGCAATGCAGAGTTAGTCTGGAGCTTCAGTAGTGCCGTTTTGCAAAATATCTACCATGTCAAGTATCCGGATTTTAACTACATGCTGCTTTTAGGTCAGGGCTTAAAACCTCAACTCCTATGCCACTAGAGTGTCCTTGGGTTAATCTTGACACATTCAGCAGGAATTAATATCCTCTCATCAGGGATATATTTTCAATCACCATTGGCTACTTCTAAAAATGAATTATCAGTCACACACTGCCCTCAATGCATAAGCGTTTTATATCTTATATTTATCTCATGCTTTCATGTCACTTTAGGTATATTGGTGACAGTACTTTTCTTTAGGAGTTTGAGTTACTAAATTCATCTGAACCCAGGAAGGGACTCCTTGTTTGTACGAGACTTCAAATAATTTTTTTTTTTTTTTTTAAAGAATTAATGGTTTCTTTAAAGTACAAACCGTGGTGTTTCTATAGAGCATATGACATGTCTGTACATGTGAACATTGCATTATTTGAGTGCCTTTTATTGTACAAACATGGTATGCTGTCAATTATTAGCAAAATTTAATAGATAGCGGTGAAGTGAAAAAAGTATGTTGGCATTTAAAAAAAAAAAAAAATTATAATTTTTTTTTTTACTTGTTTGTGAAATTGCTATTTTAAATAAATGTTCTGTTTCTTGACAGCAATTTCACGGAAGCCGAGCTCAATTTACGGACATTTATGATCTCAAAGAAGATATTGGAGTTGGTTCGTATTCTGTTTGCAAGCGTTGCGTTCATAGAGCCACTAACATGGAGTTTGCTGTCAAGGTATGACCACCCGTTTATGTACGCCATTGCTGATTTGTAAAGGTTCACTTGCCTGTTTGTCGATTTGCATAGAAAGATGTCTATTTGAATGGAAGCTGTTGTTAGCATCCATTTTTGTGTGCATATTTTGTAGTGGAGCTAGCGATTCGAATGCATCCTTTCTAAGAATTTTACATATATTTGTACGGCTGTGTGCGTCAGTTTTATTTGTAGACCTGCATGCTTTGTTTGCTCAGTCAGATTATGTTTGCAGCAAAATTCAGAAGCGCTTTAATTGGCTTCAGTAGCATTTCGTTTGCACATATGAAAACTATAATATATAAATCATTGCCAGGAATATCTTCTACAGTAAAATGTGTTATTTGAGAATATATCTAATTTTCTCACCCCTCCTGGGTGGTATGTTTATTCCTTATTTTCGGGTCCTCTAACCAGAGGCTTAGGAGTTTGAAGGTTCTGCGCAGTATCTTAGCTGTTCCTAGAACTGCATTCTTCTGGACAGCAATCTCAGATGTCCCAACTGGAATCGGTTGAAGTCCCCAACTTGAGTCACAGCCCTGAGGACTACTACTGCCTTCACTTTCCACATCCTTTCTAGTTCTTCTGTCAGTCCTTTGTATTTCTCCACCTTCTCATGTTCCTTCTTCCTGATGTTAGTCACTGGGTATTGCCACATCCACCACGACTGCAGTCTTCCGTTCCTTGTCTACCACCACGATGTCGGGTTGGTTGGTTGGGCAGCACTTGCTTGTCTGTCTGGATCTTGAGGTCCCACAGGATCTTAACCCTGTCATTCTCGACTACCCTTTTGTGGTATCTCCCATCTGGACTTAGGCAGTTCCAATTTATATTCTGTGCCGATGTTTTGTTATACAATCCCAGCAGCTTGGTTGTGTATGCTGTTCCTATTAACATCTTGCATCCAGCTACTAGGTGCTGAACTGTCTGAGGCCTCTTTGCATAGTCTGCACCTTGGGTCTTCCCTGGTGTGGTAGACTCCAGCTTTTATTGATCTGATGCTGAGTGCCTGTTCATGTGCTGCTAGGATTAGTGCCTCAGTGCTAGGGATCGACCGATATTGATTTTTTTAGAGCCGATACCGATACCGATAATCTGCGAACTTTCAGGCCGATATCTTGCCGATATTCTGTACATTTACTATTTTGAATAAATAAACTAATTCGAAAGGTAAATGCACAAAATATACATGCCACATGTAGTGGATGAAGTGTGTTTAGACAGGGGAACTGTGTGTGTTTGTGTAGTGTGTGTGGTGGATGCAGGGTGTGTGTGTGTGTAGTGTGTGTATAATGAATGTAGTGTGTATATAATGCAGTGTGTGTAGTGTGTATATAATGCAGTGTGTTTATGTAGTGTGTGTATAATGCAGTGTGTTTTTGTGTATGTATGTAATGCAGTGTGTGTGTTTGTGTAGTGTGTATGTATGTAATGCAGTGTGTTTGTGTAGTGTGTAGTGTGTATGTAATGCAGTGTGTGTGTAGTGTATGTAATGCAGTATGTGTACTGTGTTTGTGTAGTGTGTATGTAATGCAGTGTGTGTGCAGTGTCTCTGTAATGCAGTATGTGTTTGTGGTGTGTGTGTAGTGTGTCTGTCTGTGTAGTGTGTGTATGTAATGCAGTGTGTGTGCCTGTGTAGTGTGTATGTAATGCAGTGTGTGTGTATGTAATGCAGTATGTGTTTGTGTAGTGTGTGTGTTTGTGTAGTGATGTAATTTGTGTAATTTTTTATTTTAATATTTTTTTTAATATTTAAATGTTTGGTTTTTTTTGTTTAGCCCCCCCTCCCTGCTTTTTACCAGGGAGGGGGATATAGTATCCCCTAGTGGTCCAGTGGCTTGTTAAGTACAGTGGTGGCTCAGCAACAGCAAGCGCTGACTTACCTTGCAAGCAGCTCCTACAGCTCCCTGTGTAAATCTCGCGGCTCTTAGTGCCGCGCGGAGCGTTGCCATGGTAACCCGTGGCAACGCTCTGCGGCCGCGGGGTCCCGCGAGATTTACACAGGGAGCTGCATGCAAGGTAAGTCAGCGCTTGCGGCTGGCCCCCACAGGACCGCCGGGCTTGTAATGGGCCCGGCGGTCCTGTTATATATTATCGGCAATATCGGTATCTGAATTGGCCGGTACCGATATTGCCGAAAATACCAAATATCGGCCGATAATATCGGCCAGACCGATAATCGGTCGATCCCTACTCAGTGCTGTCTTTCAGTCCTGCCTTTTCCAACCACTGGTAGGATTTTGTCATGTGAGCCACATCCACTATCTGCCGGTGGTACATCCCATGGAGAGGTTTGTCTTGCCAAGGAACCTCCTCTTTTTCTGCATCCTATATCTATTGAAGTCTCAGGCATTCCCTTAGTAGTTCATCTTTGGGAGCCATATTCATGATGTACTTGTGGAATGCTCTGTGTTTCATCCAGGTCTGTGGCCTTGGCACTCATCAGGCCCGTCCTCCTTCCTTTTGGCTGGTGTACAATCTCTGGGTGCTGGATTTCGGGTGGAATCCTCCATTCATAGTGAGTATGCTTTCTGGTCTTGACATCCATGGTGACCAGTTCTTCTCTTGGCCAGGTTATCATTCCGGCTGGGTACCTGATGACCGATCGGGGATATGTGTTGATGGCTTGGTTCTTGTTCTTGCCATTGAGCTGGGACTTCAGGACCTGTCTGACTCTTTGGAGGTACTTAGATGTTGCAGTCCTCCTTGCCTCTTCCTCATGGTTGCCAGGTTTGTGGTACCCACATGTACTTGTAGCTGTCCTCTACATCTTCTATTTGGCCTTCTGGAACTTCAACTCCTTCTCTCCTGATCATCTTCCTTCTTTTTGCTATCATCCGCCCGCACTTCTCTAGTCTGAACGACATTCCGATGTCCTTGCTGTATATCCTAGTTAGGTGGATCAGTGAGTCAATTTCCCTCTCATTCTTGGCATACAGCTTGATGTCATCCATGTAGAGTAGGTTGCTGATGGTAGCTCCACTCTTGAACCTGTATCCATATTCACTCTTCTTGATGATCTGGGTAAGGGGGTTGAGGCCTATGCAGAACAGCATTGGGGATAATGCATCACCTTGGTATTTGCCACATTTGATGTTCACTTGAGTTATTGTCCTGGAATTGGCTTCTAGAGTTTTCTGCTTGCCCATCAAGTTCTTGATGAAGGTTCTTATTGTCTTGCTGACCTTGTAGAGAGCCAAGCATTCCAGTGTCCATGTGTGTGGCATTGTGTCATAGGCATTCTTGTAGTCCACCCAGGCCATGCTCATATTGGTCTGTCTGGTCTTAGAATCCCTTGTGACTGCTTGGTCTACCAGTAGTTTGTTGTTTCCAATCCCCTTCTGAGTATTGCTCATATATTAACTGATATGCCCTTGAATCTTGGAGGCTCTGATGCCTGACAGGAGTTTCCATGTTGTGGGGAGGCAGGTTATTGGTCGGTAGTTGGATGGTGTTCCCTTGTGAGGGTCTTTCATGATCAGTATTGTTCTGCCTTGTGTTAGCCTGTTAGTAGATGATTCATTTGTGCTGCTAGGCATTTATGCAGCATTGTTAACTTCTTTATCTGATTGTTTTGGATCATGTCAGGTCCTGGGGCTGACCAACTCTTAATGTGTGCTGCTCTCTGTTGGATATCTTCGACTGTGATGGTGACTGGTTCCTGTACTGGCAGCATATAGTGGTCTGCTTTCTGGTCCAGTAGCCACTGGGTCTCTGTGTTATGAGAAGCTTTTCCCCCAGATATTCTTCCAGTACTGTTCAGTCTCAGCTCTAGGTGGATCTTGCGAGGAGATGTGATGGTTACCCTGTAGCTGTGCATACACCTTGGATGGTTCTTCGGTAAAGAGGGCATTGATTCTCTGGTGTATCTGCTCAGTCTGGTTGCCAGTGCTGTCAGTCTTTGCTTAGCTGTTTCCAGCGTCTCTGGTATGGGCATATCCTTGTACTTCCGCAGCAGCCAGGATCTATCTTTGATTTTTCCTCCTCTGTTAACAAGTTGATCCAGGTTACTAACTTCCTTCCGTGTTGTCTTTATCTTGGCTTCCAGTCATCTCCATGGTGGGCATTGCTTCTCCTTGAGCCTGATTTTGTTGTCATACATACATATGTTCAGAAGGAGAGGCCGGAGCTGTATTGTACACAATCACCAAAATTGTAGACTACTTGCACTGTCAAGGGGTATGGGAAACATTTCAGATTCAATTACACAACTTCTTACATTCCCCTTGGCAAAAGTTGCTATGAATCACTGCATGTGCTGAGTTTAACCCGTCTGCGGCTGTAATTCCACCTCTGCGTCATTAAAGCATCATATGCCAGCCCATAACAAGAGTTCCATGCTGGCTAAAGTCAATTCTGTGCATATTTAGCGTCTGTCATTGGCACGCACAGCATGTCCTCTCCTCAGCCCATCCTTCCTGGCAGGGGAGATTTGGGCTGCAGGGAGAGCATAAGGTGAGTTTTAGCTGATTTCTTGGAGGGTGGAACCAGGGTTACTCTACTCAAAAGCAGTTTTTTGGGTTTTTTTTGGCTGGAGTAACACTTTCAATATTTATATGACTACTACTATACTAGACTGTTACTAGATTTTACATCATTAGAGAGTATATTTTAATGTATACAGTTCATTGTATGATTTGCATGTTTGTTTTCTTGCAGATAATTGACAAAAGTAAAAGGGATCCATCAGAAGAGATAGAAATTCTGATGCGCTATGGGCAGCATCCTAACATCATTACTCTGAAAGATGTAAGATGTGATCTGTATTCTTGATTCTTTTAAAAGAAAGTGACTTTTCTGACTTTATTCCTTTTTTTTATTTTTTATTTTTTTTTTATTACAATCGTCTCAATTTTTTTTGAGGAAAGGCAATACCATGTTGTTGTTGTTGTTTCTTACTTTTTACAGGTATATGACGACGATGGCCGGTATGTTTACCTAGTTACAGAGTTGATGAAGGGTGGCGAGCTGTTGGATCGCATCCTGCGTCAGAAATACTTTTCTGAACGAGAGGCCGGAGCTGTGTTGTACACAATCACCAAAACTGTAGACTACTTGCACTGTCAAGGGGTACGTGAACATTTCAGATTCAATTACACAACTTTACACCCCCCTCAGCAAAAGTTGTTGCTCAGATTTGTCTACCATACAAAATCTGATCAAATAGCAATGTTCTTAACACCATAGCAACCTAGGTTCTTGATATCTTATCGTTTGAAGAGCTCCACTGTCATTCTCTCCCTGCACATAGTTACTTAAAACTGTGACAAATTGCAAAACTTGCTGCAACTATAAGTGCACACATCCTGCTTAGATATCACAGGAAGATGTGTAATTTTTAAAAAAAAAAATTTTTCGTTAGTTTTTAGTTTTTGTTTTTTTTCACTACTCGTCCAAGTACTTATGCCATCTGGTGAGCAGTAGTTTGTCATATGCTCTATTTTCACTATGAACAATGGAAATGCTACAATTGGCTGAAATAGGTCAATTTCTTCCTAGTCTGGGCAGAGCTCACTACATGCATTTATTCACTAAAGTCTAAATAGGACCCATGACCAATGGGGTAAGGGGGGGGGGAGAGAGAGAAACAGCCAGCTGTATACCGGGCCTTTTGTACTGCAAAATCCAGACATTGTTCATGATATTTAACAATGTCTTTATTTTACAATGTCAGCTACACCAAACACTGCTGGCCCGGGCCATATTTAAAAATAATCTGAACTATTTGTCAGCTGGTAGTTAAAGCCTATGGGGTTAAAAAAAAAAAAGCTCTAATACTACAGACTAAAGTTATTCAAGAAATTATCATAATTCAGAGAGAAATTGAAGATCTATTCATTATAAAAGTTAATAATATGAAAATGAAACAAATTGTATTATTTGGGTAATAGAGCAGATAAAACTAGAAAAGCTACAATTTCTGGGGAAATTGTGTGAAGTGTTCTTGCTTCCACCAGTAGTCTACAACTGGAGTGGGCGACGTAACTGTTATCATTTATATAACACATTTAATTGCAAGGTTGTTGCACAGTTACATTAAACCATACATTTATAAAATATTAGCAGGTGTTCAAAAGGCCCTGTCTATGACATCACTTGCTGCTGCAGCCTGACACAGGTCAGAGTATTTTGGTGGTTGCCATCTTCAAACGGTCGTATCTTAAAAACTATAGATCCTACAGCGAAGAGCTTTATATTGTGAGAATCACAAGACCCAGACCTACATTTGGATGCAGGCCCGGACTGGCCATCGGGCATACCGGGCAAATGCCCGGTGGGCCGCGATGGCCGTGGGGCCGAGGCCGGCAGGGAGATCCCAGGATCTCCCCTGCCAGGCCAGCGCTATCCGAGCGCCAGCCCTGCTATGTGAATCCATGGGCCGGTGGGGAGATCAAAGATCTCCCTCACCGGCCCACAGACAGTGAGATGCGGCCGCCGGCTGGGGAGAGAGGACCGGCGGAGCTCTAACCCGCAGCTCCGCCGGGTCCTCTTGCGAGATTCTGAGCGTTGCCGCGGTTACCGCGGCAATGCTCAGATCTCGCGAGAGTGAACTCTAACCCGCAGGTTAGAGTTCACTCTCACCACTGGACCACCAGGGAATGCAGCATGGTCCCCCCTCAAGGCTCCCCCTCCCAGGCAGAACGGCTCCCTCCCCCTCCCAGGCAGAACGGCTCCCTCCCCCTCCCAGGCTAAAGGTAAGAAGGGGGGGGGGGAGCACAACTTTTTTTTAAATTATTCATAAAAATATATATATATATATTAAAATAAATTCCCTAACAGCCCCCTCACAAACAGGACCCCCAGACACACACACAGCACCAGATACACACAGCACCCCAGATACACACAGCACCCCAGATACACACAGCACCCACACAGCATACACACAGCACCCAGATACACACAGCACCCAGATACACACAGCACCCAGATACACACACAGCCCCCCCAGACACCCACAGCCCCCTCACACACAGCACCCCCAGACACACACACAGCACCCCCTGACACACAGCACCCCCAGACACACACAGCACCCCAGATACACACAGCAGACACACACAGCACCCCCAGACACACACACAGCACACCCAGAGACACATATACATATACATATATATATATATATATTATATAAAATAACCCTCAGTGAGTTAACAGACAAAGAAAATTAGAAACCTAGAATGTGACGGCAGATAAAAACACCCTCACACACAGCACCCCTCTTACACAAACACACTGCGCACATCACACATACAATACGTCCAAATATATATATATATATATATATATATATATACACACACACACACACTACAGCACCCCTCACACTGCACCACTACACACATTACGCTCCAAATACACGCTAGATCCCTTACCCTATATGCACTCTTAATCCTCTACACACATTCACACACACACACACACAATCGTCTATACACACTCTGGGTCCTTTACACACTAGATCTCTTACACACACACACTGCACCACCTACACACACACACACTATATTCCTTGTAAGGAAAGACATACAACATTCTCTAAACACACCCTCTCTACAACCCCTACACACACTACGTCACCTATACACACACACTACTGCCCGTATGCACACACTCACTACATCCCCTTTAACACTATGCCCCTATACACGCATTCTCTACAGCCCCTAGCAACACATATTACACCTATTTACACAATACCACACTACACAATTTAAAAGGAAACACAGCGCAAGCATGTTATTACATTTGCTTGCGCTGCGCAGAACAAATTCAGGGCCTTTTTCTAATGCCAGAGCTCTTCAGCGGGGCTCTGCGCATTGAACCAACATGCTCACTTTGAGAGGGGGCGTGCTTGTCATTAGTGATGACAAAACACACCCTCTCTGGCCCCGCCTCCTTCTTGGGGGGCCGCTCTAATTGAAAAAATGCCCGGGCCTAATTTTTTTCCCAGTCCGGCCCTGTTTGGATGCATAGTATGTCTCTGAAGTATTAAAAATGAAGGCACAGTCGCAGTTTAGAAATTGCACTTCAAATTTGAGCTTTGTAGAGGGAAGTTTCAATGAATGTCAATGGACGGCGTTAGTTGCAAACAAATGATTAGATTGTGAAAACTATCAGGACTATGGCTTAGCCGTTGACATGTTTAGTGGCAGCAGGGATTGCTGAACGTTTTGATATAAGACTTGTGTAGGTGGGCCTGAAAATAAGGGAGTGGTGGCAGTTTAGAAATCATGTCCTGATTTTTCAGCTTTTGCCAGCTCCCACTCTAGCTTTGCCATTCATTCCTATAGGACAAATTTTGCCACAAGAACGACGATATTCCGTGAACCATTCGGCGAAACGTTCCTAGTAATAACAATCGATCGGGGAACAATCTGCGTTTTGGTAAATTTTTGTCTATGTAGTGTAAAACTGTGGGAGGAGTTAGGGTGGCAAATTTTGCTATAATAAGAATAATAATATAACTAGAAAGCTACAATTTCAGGGGAAATTGTGTGAAGTGTTCTTGCCTCCACCTGTAGTCTACAACTGGAGTGGGCGGAGTAACTGTTATCATTTACATAGCACATTTAATTGCAACGTTGTTGCACAGTTACAATAAACCATACATTTATAAAAACATTAGCAGGTGTTCAAAAGGCCCTGTCTATGACATCACTTGCTGCTGCAACCTTGACAGGTCAGAGTATTTTGGTGGTTGCCATCTTCAAGCGGTCATATTTTAAAAACTATAAATCCTACAGCGAAGAGCTTTATATTGTGAGAATCACAAGACCCAGACCTACATTTTGATGCATAGTATGTCTCTGAAGTATTAAAATTGAAGGCACAGTCGCAGTTTAGAAATTGCACTTCAAATTTGAGCTTTGCAGAGTGAAGTTTTAATGAATGTCAATGGACGGCGTTGGTTGCAAACAAATGGTCATATTGTGAAAACTATCAGGACTACGGCTTAGCCGTTGACATGTTTAGTGGCAGCAGGGATAGCTGAACGTTTTGATATAAGATTTGTGTAGGTGGGCCTGAAAATAAGGGAGTGGTGGCAGTTTAGAAATCATGTCTGATTTTTCAGCTTTTGCCAGCTCCCACTCTAGCTTTGCCATTCATTCCTATGGGACAAATTTCGCCACAAGAACGACGATATTCCGTGAACCATTCGGCGAAACGTTCCACAAAGTAATAGCAATCCGATCGGGAACAATCTGCACGTTTTGGTAAATTTTTTGTCTATGTAGTGTAAAAACTGTGGGAGGGGAGTTAGAACAGCAAATTTTATATATATGTGCGTAACATGTATATATATGTGAGATAACATTAAGTGGATGGCTATGCGACATGTAACTAAACTTCTAATTTCTAGGGAAATTGTGGCAGAGGTAATTCTTGCCTCCACCAGTAGTCTACAACTGGAGTGGGCGGAGTAACTGTTATCATTTATATAGCACATTTAATTACAACGTTGTTGCACAGTTACATTAAACCATACATTTATAAAAACATTAGCAGGTGTTCAAAAGGCCCTGTCTATGACATCACTTGCTGCTGCAGCCTGACAGGTCAGAGTATTTTGGTGGTTGCCATCTTCAAACAGTCATATTTTAAAAACTATAAATCCTACAGCGAAGAGCTTTATATTGTGAGAATCACAAGACCCAGACCTACATTTTGATGCATAGTATGTCTCTGAAGTATTAAAATTGAAGGCACAGTCGCAGTTTAGAAATTGCACTTCAAATTTGAGCTTTGCAGAGTGAAGTTTCAATGAATGTCAATGGGCGGCGTTGGTTGCAAACAAATGGTCATATTGTGAAAACTATCAGGACTACGGCTTAGCCGTTGACATGTTTAGTGGCAGCAGGGATAGCTGAACGTTTTGATATAAAATTTGTGTAGGTGGGCCTGAAAATAAGGGAGTGGTGGCAGTTTAGAAATCATGTCCTGATTTTCAGCTTTTGGCAGGTCCCACTCTAGCTTTGCCATTCATTCCTATGGGACAAATTGCGCCACAAAAACGATGATATTCCGTGAACCATTCGGCGAAACGTTCCACAAAGTAATAGCAATCCGATCGGGAACAATCTACTTGCGTTTTGAGTAAAATTTTGAGGTCTATGTAATTTAGCAACCAAAAAACTGTGGGAGGAGGATTTGGGGTGGCAAATTTTGCTTTATAATAATATATAATATATATGTGAGATAACATTAAGTGGTCTTGCTTATGCAAGAACACTTAATAACTAGAAAAGCTAAAATTTCTGGGGAAATTGTGTGAAGTGTTCTTGCCTCCACCAGTAGTCTACAGCTGGAGTGGGCGGAGTAACTGTTATCATTTATATAGCACATTTAATTGCAACGTTGTTGCACAGTTACACTGTTACACAGTTAAACCATACATTTATAAAAACATTAGCAGGTGTTCAAAAGGCCCTGTCTATGACATCACTTGCTGCTGCAGCTTGACACAGGTCAGAATATTTTGGTGGTTGCCATTTTCAAACGGTTGTATCTTAAAAACTATAACTCCTACAGTGAAGAGCTTTATATTGTGAGAATCACAAGACCCAGACCTACATTTTGATGCATAGTATATCTCTGAAGTATTAAAAATGAAGGCACAGTCGCAGTTTAGAAATTGCACTTCAAATTTGAGCTTTGCAGAGTGAAGTTTCAATGAATGTCAATAGACGGCGTTGGTTGCAAACAAATGGTCATATTGTGAAAACTATCAGGACTACGGCTTAGCCGTTGACATGTTTAGTGGCAGCAGGGATAGCTGAACGTTTTGATATAAGATTTGTGTGGGTGGGCCTGAAAATAAGGGAGTGGTGGCAGTTTAGAAATCATGTCCTGATTTTTCAGCTTTTGCCAGCTCCCACTCTAGCTTTTCCATTCATTCCTATGGGACAAATTGCGCCACAAGAACGACGATATTCCGTGAACCATTAGGCGAAACGTTCCACAAAGTAATAGCAATCCGATCGGGAACAATCTGCACGTTTTGGTAAATTTTTGTCTATGTAGTGTAAAACTGTGGGAGGAGTTAGGGTGGCAAATTTTGCTATAATAATAATAATAATAATATATATGTGAGATAACATTAAGTGGTCTTGCTATGCAAGAACACTTAATAATAATATATGTGAGATAACATTAAGTGGTCTTGCTATGCAAGAACACTTAATAATATATATGTGAGATAACATTAAGTGGTCTTGCTATGCAAGAACACTTAATAATAATATATATGTGAGATAACATTAAATGGTTTTGCTATGCAAGAACACTTAATAATATATATGTGAGATAACAATAAGTGTTCTTGCAAGAACACTTAATAATAATAATATATGTGAGATAACATTAAGTGGTCTTGCTATGCAAGAACACTTAATAATATATATGTGAGATAACATTAAGTGGTCTTGCTATGCAAGAACACTTAATAATATATATGTGAGATAACATTAAGTGGTCTTGCTATGCAAGAACACTTAATGACTAACCAACTTAAAAAAACATAACTACATTAAATCAAAGCTAAAGGATAGAAAAAAAGCAGGTAAGTAGAGGAAAGACATATGTCACTGGGCTAATTGAGGGATATAAGTAAATACCTCTTTAACCCCTTAACGACCAAACTTCTGGAATAAAAGGGAATCATGACATGTCACACATGTCATGTGTCATTAAGGGGGATCTCCCCAAGACCCAAACCCAAGCAGAGACCACTAATAAAAGTGTCCTGTTCCTGTGTACCTCGGCACTGTGGTGAACCACACGTGCCTACCTGTAACCCTCTCCCTTCCTGTTCAGATAGCTAGAAACAAATTAACTTAAATTAAATAATTCATAACTAAGTGCTACCAAAGTGAAAAAAAAAAAAATAAATGTAAGCTCGACGCGCATTTCGGTGTTCTAACATGCCGCCGTCAGGAGCAATAAACTTTGGCATAACCTTGTATCGGTTTATATACCCATTGTAGCAATCAACTTGTAAAGTATTGTCTGCTGTGTGTGCCCCACGTGTGCTTGTACTGCCGTGTTTACTGCCTTCTGATTGGTCACTAATCAATAGACACTGGTCCTGATTTGATACGACGTCTGTCACAAGGCATGTGACCAGGGGGCGTGACGGCAGAATCTGCTGACTGGACAATGCCCACATGGGGAGACTAGTCGTATGGAGTGGGAGTGGTATGGTCGCGTCACCTAGTGACGAAAGCTGCACCACCTAAAGACCTCCCACTAGAATGATCCCGATTGGACACTACAAATTCCAAACGGCAAGACGAGTACTCTCCCCCCCCCTCCTCATCATCCTCTAAAATCACGGAGGATGGTAGTGAGGTAAGGGGAGAAGATTTACAACACATAAACTGCTCAATCATTCAGTTCACATATCAATAGAGCAGAATCTCCCCTCAGTCACTGCACGAGCCATGAAAGCTTGTTAATAAATGTTATCCTGCAATGAGAGTACACCCTGATGTAAAGGTATTCATACTGCAGCGTATCAATCCTACTGTTAGTGTAGACATAGATTCATTAATTTACCCAAACTTCTAAATAATAGGTAATAGTATAATTACCCCAACGGTTATTCCATGAACCATAAAGGCTCCAAATCAACTGTATTAAGCAGAAAGTTATTGAAACTTCAGCATATCAGTTATTACCTTCAGAGTAGAAAGAATAAATGGATACTAAAAACTGTCTAAGTGGTCAATACGCTCACATCAGAGTTTAGTGGCTAATACCATAGTCATTAAAAACCGATACAAGTAACCAAAGAAAAGAAAAAAACACTCAGTGGTGTATACATTTTAAATGAACAGTAATTATATACAAATGTTCAACCTACTGTCCATATATACGGACTTGGTAGGGATATCATTACTCTGTATCACATCAAATATAGAGTGATCAAAGGAATGCGGCAAATGAAAAACCCTCGTTCAACAGGGGAAAGGGTCTTAAGTCTATAAATCCAATAGGATTCTCGTTGTCTCCATTTCATATCCCAGTCACCTCTCCTTTGGGTCTGTGGGATATGCTCAATTCCCATGAATCTCAATTTTTTAGAGGAATTTGAATGATGTATTTCCAAATGGTGGGATATTGGAGTTTCTAAGGGTCTCCTAACTGAATTGACATTTTCCCTAATCCTTAATTTGAAAGGTCTAAAAGTTTTCCCCACACATCTTATGCCACAAGAACAGGTAAGTAGATAAATAACACCCTCTGTTCTGCAATTAAAAAATGAACGGACCGGGAAAATTTCGATGTTATTACTATCTGTGAATTCTTTGGCATTTTTTTCAGTGAACTCACATGCACTGCAATGCCCGCATTTATATGTGCCCTTGGGTAAATAGTTATTGAGCCCTCTTTTCAGACTTGAGAACACTTTAGTCTACCTCAATACAAAAAGAAAGCGGCCCGATCCTCCTTTTCCTACAGAGCGCCACAATTGTGGAACGACCTTTCCTGGTAAAATATTTTATAAATAAATAAAAATACGAACAGATACATAGAAACACAGCACTAAAAGTGTTGAGGCATCGCTATATCACCTGGAAGTGAAAGTAGTTTATCACCAGATCTCATTTATATTCTTTATATACTTAGCTGCAGGTATCTCTACACTGGATAGAGACCATTACGACCACTACTTTGACTTCTAGGTGATACAGCGATCCCTCAACACTTTTAGTGTTGGGTTTCTATGTATCTATTTGTATTTTTATGTACTTCGTACACCAGCAGTATGAAAAATTTCAAATGATTAGGCAACCGTGGCTAACAAAATTTCCTATTTGACAAAGCCCTGCTTCGTATTTATACTCTAATATAATAGACAATGGTTAGGCTGTTCTGTTATATCCCCATTACGCGCACAACTTAATTTAAATGTTGAGTTTAGTATGTATAAGTATGCAATGTCTTGTTGCATGTATAGTTATGTCAAATTCTTAACTATATTGATCATTTCCATGATAGTATGATTAATACTTGAATTCTAAAGATAAATTATTTGAATGAAATTGTCTGACAATTGATGTCTAGGTCTCTGTTTTGTAAGACTACTTGTTAAAAATAAATTATTATTACAAAAAAAAGCCTATGGGGTCAATAAGATCCCCATTTTGCTATAAGGGAGGATTCAAAACTCCTTGTGAACTTACCTGCAGCAGGTGGGGGCATATCTACTAACTAGTTAAAACTATCAACCACCATAGTTTGCATATTGCTAGTAGGGCCTCATAGTACCCACACCCTTTATACCAATAACACTGTTCTTTACATAGAATCCTGGGTTAGGCTGCAGTTGCATAGATTATGTAATTGCAATGCAAAACCTTTGACAAAAAGGAAGACTAGCCAATATGATTAACCAACTCACTACTAATTTTCGTTGTACTTTCCGAAGCAAAAATTATCAACAATGTAATAATTACTTTTGTAGTAACCAAATTAAAGTGGCACTGTGTTTTGCTTTTCTTTTTGTTTTTTCCCTCTATAGGTACCCGAACTACTTCATATCAGTGTAGTGGTCTGGGTGCTATGTCTCCCCTGTGTTGTGTTTTTTTTTTTTTTTATGCTGCAAATGAAGACATTGTCTTTCTGTGGGAACGGCAGTGTTTTCAGTGCATGGTTAACTTGCCTCTAGACAACCACTAGAGGCACTTCCGAGAAATAGCAGCATAAAACTACACTGTTTTAATCAGATTGTGTCAGAGTGGCGTTTTGATGTGCATGCACATTAGCCTCCCAATGCTTTTCTATGGGAAAGCATTGGATTGGCTGAGATCTTTGATAAACTCACCTTTTTTAACCCTGACAGTAAACTTCATTACAATTTATACACATTGGTATTCCTGACACTATAGTGTTTCTTTAATGTAAAACCACTCTGTGTCTGATTACGGTACTTGCTGCTTTAGATGTTCTGAGCATGGCAAGTGTTTTTTCTGTTTTACAAACCTTTTATGTTAATTCCTTCTCAGGTGGTTCATCGTGACCTTAAGCCTAGTAATATTCTGTATATGGACGATTCCAGTAATGCAGATTCAATAAGAATATGTGATTTTGGTTTCGCAAAGCAGCTGAGAGGAGATAATGGACTGCTCTTAACGCCGTGTTACACTGCCAACTTTGTGGCACCAGAGGTAATTTAATTCTTTCAGTTTTGTTGTCCTTTTTTTATTTATTTTTTTAATTTTTTTTTTAATTCTTTATTTTTTTCTGTGCACAAGATAATACGGAGGTTCACAAAGCCACGACAGCATAGGCAAACAGTAATATCAATGTAGAGCATATACATGGCATTAGTAAGTGGCACAGTTTTTAAGTATATTAATACATAGGCTAGTTACGTTTGTCTATATAGGAGTTACATGAGTAAAAATAGATGCAGGCATAAGACAAGTAACGATAAAGACCTCGCTTGGTATGTGTTAGCACGGAAACAAGATTAATAGGCAAAATTAAAAGTATTGAGGCATATACATAGCATGTTCATTTTGTTTAGTTATACTAGCTGAGTCATTGAGCTCAATATAAACAGGGAATAACATACAGGCTTTTGCGGGCTAGTCTCGCTTATCTGTTAGGGTGCTTAAACTGAATCTGATGCTGTGCAATCTACAGTATACTACAGTGACAGGTTATGATAATTCCTGCTCTAGGCTTCGTAGTTAAATGACAGACAGTAGGACATGCATGTAGGTGGCTGTACAGACTTATGGTAGCCTACGACAAGACATAATATCTGCCTACAGGGAATCAACTGAGAGACAATATGTGCACTTTGCTGCCTGACAGCAGGCTTGAGAAAAGGGAGATGAAAGCAAAAAAAAAAAAAAAAAGGAAATTATAGTTAAAGTAAGTTAAGTGAGAAAGACTAAGCAAAATGGAATGGCTAGTGTTTGCATAAAAAACTGAGGGAATCATGCCATAGTGATTAAAGAACCCTGGGCCCCCGAACAGAGACTCTCTTCTCAGTGGAAAGGTAAACGTGACCCTGATAGTTGATACTCAGGAGTCAGGGAGTAGTCAACCCCAGTCCTCATGCAGAGAGCAGCTAACTCCCATCACTGACAGGTTACAGTCCTTTGCTTCTCGGCTCCATCTGCAAACAATTCCCTGATGCTGTGGTATCAGCCGTTTGCGGTTGGGAGCTGGATATGTGCAGAGTCTTCATAGTGATTCGCAGCTATCGGTTGTGTTTCTCGGCATCCTGGGACCGTACCAGCTTGCCGCCTGATTACCTCAGGAGCCACTTTGCCAGTCAGCCGATCTCTGCATAAGGTCCTCAGTGTCGATTGGTAGCACCCCAGGCCGGGTCTCAGGATAGGTAAGTTGCTCATACGATTTCTCCCAGAGTTGCCCGTTGCGAGTGCTAAGAGCCTTGAGGGATCGCCCTCTCTACAGCGTGCTGGTCAGGCTCAGCCGCCATCTTAGGTGTTAGGCGAGGTCTCCGATCAGAGTTGAGACCCAGGGTAGGCCGGGATGACCCCCCCGGCCCAAAGGGGGGGAAGCAGGGCATTAGGGGACCCCCATGGTGCAGTCAGGCAGGATAGCAGGGCGGCGGCCGTCCACCCTACTCACCACCTGGGTAGGCTTGACTAGGCCTCGGTCACGTAGCTCAGTTTTCTCCCCAAAAGGGGCCAAGAATCAGGTCGCTGACTGATCTCCAGAGCTAGCACCTCATAGTGCAGTTGCCTGCCGTGTCTCAGCGCCAGAAGTTGCGTTTTGGGACCAAATTACCTGTAAATTGCAGGAGCTAGAGTACCATGCGTCTACTCTGCTTGGCGGTCCGGCCCCGCCCCTCCCTTTTTTTCTTTTTTATGTTTTTTTCTTCCAAGTTTGTGATTTGCCTGTAAAATTTTAAATGTTAATTTCTTCTTTAGTTACTTAACTGTTTCAAAACAGAATGTTGAATTAGCCATTATGGTTAATGGATATGAAGGTCACATGAATGAGAGAGAATAGACAAGATAGAGGTTCTAAATCAGACAGATTACATGGAGGTTTTTTGGAAAATAAGAAATCAAAAAGTAGCTTACATTTATTTGAGGCATGGGGTGTATAGTAGCATAAACAAGTGTTTATTACGTATATTTGCAACAAGTATAAAACAGTCCATTTTGTGCTCGCTCCTTTTTTATTTTTTTTTTATTTTATTTTTTTTACTATGTTGAATATTTTGTTAATTTTATGCACCTGCATGTTTATATCAGGGCACTTTTAAAGAAACATTGATGTTTCTAAGAAGTATTTTCTTACCCATCCTGTAACAATGTTCTGTTTCAGGTACTCATGAGGCAGGGTTATGACGCTGCGTGTGATATTTGGAGCCTGGGTGTACTCCTCTATACAATGCTTGCAGGGTAAGAATTCACAGCTTCCGTTGTATAATCTAGTTCTATAAAAGATCTGTGATGAAGCCCTAGTGTAATTTGCCTCCAATATAGGCATAAATGAATGTTATATGATTTGCGAGTGTCGTAGTTTCCCATATTTCTTTGCTGCGTGCAGGTGTGTTTGGTAGAAGCCCGATACAAGTGTGACACAGATATGTCATAATTTTTTTTGAATTGTATTTAAGAATTTCAGAATTTTTTATTTTTTGGAGGGGTAGAGGGGGCTAAATGTTAAATATGACTTCATCCATTGCAGTTTAATGGCAAAGTTAAGCATGTGTAGTCATACATACCAAAGGTTTAATGTATTTAAGATGTACTATAAATGCACCCAACATCACAATGATTAAAATAGCAAAAGTTTTAACAATAAGTTCTCGACAAAGTAAGCCAAATAAAGGACCTGGCAGGTACTACTTTTTGATAAGCTTAATGCTCTTGCTGAGCCCCAAGAGTTCCTGCAGTAAAGCAGAGGGATTATCTATTACATACATTTTATTTCAAGTGTGAGCCAAAATGTCTGCTTGACAACTTACTATGAAATTAAGAGTTAAAAGACTGAGCTCCGGGCCAACAGCAAGGTAACTAATAATAAGGGGCACACAAAGAATGTCATGACTGAGGAGGTGTATAAATAAAAAAAATAGATGAATACCGCACTTATTAAAATCTTGGTGCAAACAGACCTGGGGTTGGCTATCCCTCCTGTGATAGTTGAACAAAAATTGCACTCCAGGCACTCAAGGATCAATTTAGCAGGTTTATTGGAACAGAGGGCAACGTTTCGATCCCACAAGGGATCGAAACGTTGCACTCTGTTCCAATAAACCTGCTAAATTGATCCTTGAGTGCCTGGAGTACAATTTTTGTTCAACTATGACTGAGGAGGTGTGATTGAGTAGGGGACTGTGCAACCCTTTTAAAGCCAGACACTGCAGTACCCAGGTTATGGTGGAGGTCACAATGAGCACAGCTCCAACTGGTAAATTGAAAGAAAAATGGGCCTTGTGGGTAGTATTCCACCCCCCAAAAAAATTGGAATATAAATGAGTGGAGTGTGAAAAAAGAATGTAACACAAAAGCACTATAACAAATTAAGAGACTCTCTCAATGTAAAGGACCCCAAACACAGATTTCTAACAATTTAAAGGTAAGTGAAATTAAATTAAGAGAACATTTATTTTCATGTTGTACATAGACGGTAAGATCAAGATAACATCCACAATAGTGACGGTTCCTCTTTAAACAGGGTTGGAAAGAAAATCTGCTCCGCTACATGCCCAGGCCACTGCATGGGGGTCATATTTATCGGGGTGCTGTTTTGGAGCAAAGTTTTAAAGATTTATCACCATTGTTACCACAAGAAGCCTTGATAAATACAGCCCTTGTATTATCTTCTGGAATCCAGTTAATATTGGTGCATTGGCCATGTACACTTAACACTTAAATTTTCTTGTAATCCATGCCCAGTTACCCTATATTGTTAAAGATCAGAGCGGGAAAAACATAATTTAAAGTCAACTAGCACACATCCCTGTTCAACTGCTATTTTCCAGGTAGACAATCCTGACATGCATCTTGTCATGGGTAGATGCCAATACAAGTACTTGTCACTAGATGGATTGCAAATTTAGATGATAAAGACCGAATGATTTCATTAGAAAATATAGTTATAAAGTGTCACTGTTGCTGCTTTGGACAGAATCCATTGAAATGAGACAATTGATTTTTTTTATTTTTTTTTTATTTTTTTTTTTGGGGGGGGGGAAACTCAAAATTCTCTACTCTTTTATGAGATCACTGTTTAGTGTTTGGATAAATCAAGTTTAGCCACTAATCTAAATATAATCTAGCTGAAAAGAAATAATAAAACAAAACCAAAAAACATTAAAAGTAATGGATATAATCAATTGTGAAATCTTGCATGAGAAAGTTAAATCTATTTACAGAGAAATGGCTCAAGGGCACTCCAACACAAAAGTGTTAGAAAACATTAAATTTGGTTGCTAGCTGCTTATATACATTATATTGGAACATTTGACGTTATTGTTGCTTAGTGATATTGGGCTTAGCCTTGGAAAAAGAATAGATGAGATTCTGCTTTCTGCAGTAACATTTTATATAACCAAGCGTTTAGCATTATGAACACCAAACAATCAAATAACTTAATGCTCCTCGTTTGAGGACACCATATAAATTGATGTATATTTATTTATGGATCTGCCCTAATTCAAACATGCAGGTTGTTTTCAGATGCTTTACTGCTTGGTGGGTAACTGACAGGGTGCGGTGTGGTGCCCCTTATCTTAGGGTGCAAAGGCTTGCAAAGATTAATGTATATTAAATTAAGTCAGCCATGCTGTTTGCAGCTGCTACGGTTTATCTAGTCCCTTTGCGTTAGTGCCAATTTTCTTACCCCAGCGTCAATCTCTTCACATTAATCATTGTAGAAGCAAATCACAGTTGTTGCCTGGGAGTGTAACTCCAACAAGTCTCGTACAGTTGAGGTGTGTATGAACGTTAACCATAGCTTCTGAAAAATTATTTCAAATGTACCCAACGCTAAATCATTTACTAGGCGAGACATTCCTCTATAAAATATATCTAGACACTATCATGTGTATATAGTTAGAGAGATTAGTATAAAAGCAATCTAAATATTTTTTTTTTTTCCTTAACAATCCTGTAAACTATGGCCAATAATAAAAAAAGGAAAATCAATTTAGAGCCGCTCTGGATGCTACTAATGTTTGGCAGTCTTATTCTGGAGCTAGCACTCTGGAGAAGGGATTCCCACCCATGTTCTTAAAGCTCACCAACAGTTCGGGATGTGGGCTTTTCCTAATTGTGTTTCAACTATTACAAAAGATGGACTATTGGTGTGCCTATAGGACTCTGTTGGGAACCTCTGCTCTAGACTGTGTTTAGTCAGCCCATAGAGAAGCTGGAAGACTCTTAAATTCACTGTTCCAAATGCACCTTCAAATATTTATTTTAGTCTTATTGTAGAGATTTTTTTTGTTTTTGTGTTTTTTTTTGTTCTGTTTCATGATTTTCTTTGGAATTTTTAGGTACACGCCTTTCGCCAATGGGCCGAATGACACCCCAGAAGAAATCTTACGGAGGATAGGAAGTGGAAACTTTTCATTGAGCGGAGGAAACTGGGACACTGTTTCAGATCTTGCAAAGGTAGAGTAAAAGACAGGAAAGCATAATTGCTGAGAAATGTATGCCAACAGATTTTGGAGACCATTTGAACTGAAATCTTGTTGTGCACTTCTGGCTCACATTTGTTTCATTACATTTGATACACATCCTACTTTTAAATGGGAAGTATGTGTGTATCTTAATGTATCACTCTTGATTATTTTATAGCAGCAGACTTAAAGTGTGCGCTGACATCAGAAAAGGTGTGGGTGCAAAGTTCACTGTGTTCGTGCAATGAATTGAATTTTGTTTCTTGGTTCCTAGGATTTGTTATCACACATGCTTCACGTCGATCCACATCAACGATATACAGCAGAGAAAGTATTAAAACATTCCTGGATTGCGTGTAGGGACCAGCTTCCTCACTACCAGCTTAACCGACAGGATGCCCCTCATCTTGTTAAGGTGAAAATTCTTGTTTATTGAAAGAAAATAACTTTCTCTGTAACATGTTAATCACAGTACAGTGATCAACACTTGTCTTTCTAGCATAGAATAAGACCAGAAATACTAACTAAAAAAAAAAAAAAAAGTTGAGTCACCAAAATAACGTTAGGAACCTTCTGATAAAATAAGTGTAGTTAATTTGTGCTTATAGTCATAATATTTTTTTACCCCCACAGGGAGCTATGGCGGCAACGTATTCTGCACTGAATCACAAGACATTTCAGCCCGTTTTAGAGCCTGTTGCAGCATCAAATTTAGCTCAGCGTCGGAGTATGAAAAAGAGAACTTCAACGGACATGTAAATAAATCCGTGCATCGTGGCCAAACTGAAGCTAAAGAAGTCCTCTGTCCAGCCTGTGGTTGAACGGCAATTAGTCTTTATCAATATTACTTGAATATTGCGTACAAGTCTCTCATGGAACATAATTTTTTTTATTTTTGTGGGTTCATTCTGTGCTTTTTTTTTTTTTGTAGTTTTTATTTGTCTTTGAAGTCTTTTTTTTTTTTTCCGCTGATTTAATTTAAATATCTGGGTACTTCATCAAAATGTAAAAGTTTCTGTGCATCCAATACTATCTGCTCATTGGCTACTGTTGAAAAGATGCTTAATCTCCTGGAACCTGCTGCACTTCAAATGCTTCAAAACGTGCTGTATATTTCTGCTTTATTTTTTTATATTTCACTTTTCATTCACATTGTTGGGACTGATTTCATATAAAGCTAGAAGTGGAAAGAGAAAAAACTTCTGATCCAAGTACTTAGTAGCTTAGCATTGTGTTGCACATCTTTGCTATCTACTTTAATATTGAGCAGGTTGGCTTTAGATCGCCCCAGTAGTTAGTGCTACTACAGCTTTAGATGGTGATACAAGTATCGACCCCACTGAGCGTGGCCTATCATCTGTTTTCCTTACGTACTGGAGTCACGTGTTCGATGTCGGAGCGTTTGGTGTAAAGACTAAAATATCACTGTGGATGTCTTGTGGATGTTGTCTTTTACAAATCCAATGGTTAAAAATGGTCCCTGCATTTTGTGAAAGCTTTCCTTCCCCTCCTAAAAAGTCACTAAAGTCTCTGCTTCTCTGAAATATATATGCTGTTCTAGACCAGGCTGTGGCAAATTAAATAATTCACCTGGTTAGCTTGCCCCTATGACCCTGGCATTAAATGAGGGTATTCTGCAGAAGAACTTGCTTTTTGGAGGCTTCATGTATTAAAGTAACTTATCTTGGGTGGGGCTGTATATAAACACGTTGTATTATGTTTTGTACCTATTGTACAAATTGGTCAATATTTTTGTTGGATATTTTTTTTATTTGTTTTGATTTATTTTGTTTGTTTTTTTTTTCATTCTATTCAAGGTACCATACAATGATTTTTACCAAGTAGGTAAAATTATATTTTTATAGAACTAATTATTATTCTTATTGTTATCTAAAGAAAACCAAAATAAAATTCAAGAATCTGGCTTGCAAGTGTGAGCTTTTGCTAGCCAAACCTGTCTGTTGCATGAAGAAGAAAAATATGCTGGTTATGGAAATATAATTTGTAAAAGAAAAAACAATGTAAAATCGCTCACTTGTAAGTTATATATGACAAATATGATTATGGAAATGAAATAGAGCCTCTTTCTGAATACACAGATATGTTCTTTTTGCTAGGAAAAATGTGTTTGTGTCTGTCTGGTTCAATGCACTCATTAGAGAGGGCTGTATTCAGCTCATAGAGGAGACGACCTATTATAAAGACTGGAGCTTTAATGGCACTCTAAAATGGTTTGTCACGTGCCATAGTCTGCCTCTTTCTTTTCTTCAGAAGATAGAATAGCACTAGTTGGCCTTTTTGTGGCTGTATTCCACAAGTATATCTTTAACTCATTGAGTGTGATCTTGCATCTTGTGCCTGAAACTTTTAATAAGTCATGCCAATCTTTGAACTTTTTGACAATCCTAACTTGGTGATTGATGACTCAATTTTAGCTCATAATAAATATATTTCTTGTTTTGGAATCAACACATGACCATTATTTGGCCCGATAGATGGGCAATCCTTAATTCTCTGGGCTGGTGCTTTGAGAAACTTGAAATACAGTAATGGGAGCCGCAGCACCTTACTTTTATTATGAAAGTAGTTTATTGCGCAGTTGCCAACATTTCAACCCACTGTCAGGTCCACCTGTCCACTGGTGGCATAAGTCTCATTAATTATTAGCTTCTGGTCCTATTTTATTTACTTGAGGGATTAAAAGGATCTTGGTGCCCCACACCTAGAACCTGGTCTAGATGTGCTTATCCCCTTGTATATCTGCTCATGGTACACATCACACACATCATTGCATTGAAATTTGCCAGAACTCATTTGTTTTGATTCTTTAAACTGCAGAACCCTCTCTAACTATAAACTAGTCTCACATGGGCAATATCTGGGAAGTATTGATCAAAATACACCACAAGGCCAACGGGAGATCTCAATGCGCGCAATTAACCCTGGTGACTGCATACTTCTGCTACGCTGCAAGCAATATTACATGACCGTAAAATTTATATTCCCAAAAAATGTTCCCTCTATCTAAACACTTGATGTTTAGGTAAGTCAGTAATAGCTAAATATTAGCAGTCAGAGTTTTGTGAGTGTTTTTCACGTGTGCAGTATATGTATTTATGCAACCGATTTTGTATACTCCATGTAAGTAGAAAGTAGCCACACCTGATGGTAATGTTTGTATGTATTTACAATATAGAAATATTGTTCCCCATCTAGTTTATTTGAATGTTTAGGGGCCAAATCTGTCAACATGTGTTCTGTATGATTTAAAATACTTGAAAGATATTAAGGGCTGTTCTCGTATGTAAGCATGAGATATTGAAAGATGTTTGATATTTCTCTGCACCTTCTAAAAACTGTGAGATAAAAAAAGCTTTCATTGGTCATACTTGTGTTTTTTTTTTTGTTTTTTTTTTTCTGTGATCAGACTGCTTCTAGAGACTCAAACAGATTGAAATTAGTAAAAGTATCAATTCTTCTTACATTCTATTAAATGTGTGTATATTACATCAAAAACAATGACAAAGTATATTACGTACTCTGTCATTTTAACACATTTTCAAGCTGCATAATTTACATGGATGACATCACCCTTGCAAACTATGGGGTTTGCAAACTTTATTGAATGGGGTCTTGTAGACTTAAAACCATAGCATCCTTATGATGACTGCTAACTCTTGTATAACTCTTATTTACCCCTCTAAAAAAACAAAGTTTTAAATTGTACTTTTTGCAAGTGCATTCTTCAGATTAATACAATTTCTACCATCTTTAAAAGTTACAAAAATGGATGAGTGGAGGTTGAGCAGGTTTGTAGTCAGGACTATCAGGTAGCCGCTGGTAGTAAAATTTTGCAGCAATTTCTGCCAATTCAACTGCTGTGGAACAAAGTGCTTTTCATTTCAGTAAAATAAAGTATTCTTAAAAGAACATCAAAAAAAGTTAATGCACTTTAAAAGACACAAAACTAAAACCGTAAAGTGTGTTGTTGAAAAATGGTATCCCTGGGTTTTAGAGACCCACATAAACAATTTGATCTTCGTAGTTTGATGTAAACTGAACCCTGCGAGGTCATTCTATTCCCATTATGTTTGCAAGCATTGCCTTCAACACCTGCTCGAGGTAAAAAAAGTAATTGTTGATCATACACGATTCTACTTTAGTAGCAAATGTGCATTTATATTTTATTATACATTACGCACACATTATTTAATGTTAGTTTTTATTTTTTGTCCACTTTTCCCCTTTGTTGTACGATGCTTATTGTAGAAACACAGCTCAAGTAATGCAAATGAATCTTTAGTGAGGAACTAATATACATATATATTTTTTTCCCCCATAAGGGTTGTGTTTTTACAGCATTACCTCCGTAAGCAAATGTTATGGGTCCTCATGAAGGATATATTAAGGGGTGACTTTTCTGTTGAGGCAGGACATTTCACTTATCTGGTATCTTCCTGTGTCATTGGCTTTTCTAAAGGAGCCCTGGCACCACCCTCGCCCTAGTGTCAGTAGTCAAATTGTTTTAGAACATATTGGGTTGCTGGGTACTGATCCACTACAGCCTACAGTAGAGCTGGAAGCTCTCTCTGAGCTAAGCAGAAATTAGCTCATTGGCTAGGAATGATCACCTGACTCTCTCTGCCAATGAGCTAGTGCTGTGCTGCAGGGCCGAGCTCAGAAGGCTAGTAGGAGCGGAAGGAGGTTGCCAAACACATTCTTGGTAAGAAGACCATCATTCAAGTATGGTTTGACTACATACAATAGGGGAGGGAGAGGTAGTGAGGGCACTCCAGCCTCATAACTACTACAGGATGCTGTAGTGGTTATGGTATGTTCCTTAATTGGCTGGCCCATTCGTTCACTGGTATAGCACAAGTAAGCAGGATTTAATTTTATTGTTTAGTTTTTCTTACATATTTTAATGGTATGAGCAGTTACATTGGAAAATGGCTTGATCACTATAATCTAATTTATCTAAAGTATTTGGTTCTGTGTATATTTTATATTTCATTTTTTCCATATTTATTCATCACGAAAGTGCAAGATCATGACAACTGAATCTATTTTAATGTTGAATTGACTATGTACATCAGCCAGAACAATAACAACATTCTCACCTCCCAGTTATAAGAACTAACTCATACTTCTAATAATGGCCTCTATAGTGGACTGATGGCTAACTACAACTCTTGTGTCTGTATATTCCTTTTCCATGATTTTCCTCCAGCTTGCAGGAGAAGGTTTACAAACCTCTTCTGTGCCTAATCAGCCTTAACTTGTCAGTTCCTCTTCCTTTGGTTCCACATAAACTCCTCATCCTTCCCAGTTTATGCCGTAGTATAATCCCATGCAGGTAAATTCCAGTGATCAAGGCAACGTGTTATGGCACATGGGTCTTGCTACATCAGCCCTGTTTAAACAAATTATTTTAACCCCTTAAGGACCAAACTTTTGGAATAAAAGGGAATCATGACCTGTCACACATGTCATGTGTCCTTAAGGGGGTAAAAGAGTCTCTTCAACTATAGCCGTTTCCGATATACCAACATGTAAAAGATATTTTTGGTTTGTTTATTTCCCTCTTCCATAACTATTTTTTTTTTTTTTTTTTTTTCTATTCTCATTGTAAACCTAGTCTGTATTTGTTGCATCACAATGTGGTTTATTCACTAAATCTTTCATTGTAATTGAAAACCGTATTGCAAAATTTAGTCACATTGCGGATTTGGAGAATTTCTCCCATGCCGTTCTAGTCATAGCAAGTCCATTGATACAATTATTTTATTTTTATTTTTGGTGCAAATTTTGATTTTTTTTTTTTTAGTTTGGTACAGTTCTAGGTTTACTGAACAAACCCTAATGTGTTCATTAGTGTGGACCCATGTATATATTCTGATCCTATTACATATTACCTCTGTAAATTCACAGTTAAACAGATGGATGTGTAAACACAATTGGCATATCTGATCGGTCTGCCTGTGAGCCCCCAAAATATATAGTTTCAAAAATTAGAATGCAGAAAGTAACTTTTTCTTCAACATAATATTGACCATATTGTTGAGTTATAGCTGCACAAATAAATTGCTTACTAAGCCTTTAAGAAGTTTCTAATCACAGAGGAGTTAAGTGGGAACGTAGACCCTTTCTATTGCCTTAACAATGTAATTAGTACTAGCCTATTAAATAACATTTTAAGAAATGAAAATGATGCAAAGTATTATCTAGATTAGGGACAGCCAACACTCTAATACTTAGCTATGGTGTCACAGCACAACAAAAGTTGTTATACGTAACTGTTCAAGCCCTACCTGTTGGGTATTCCTGATCTAGAAGGATGGAATCCATCCCTAACCAATATGTAACCAGATTGACCATTAGAGCCTCACTTCAATTGAGTTAATCAGTTGGTACCCATCTGTCATGTGACCCCTCATATCACTGGAACATTTCTGGATGGCAGTCCCAAAGTTCGGGCTAGTTGACAGCTCTCTTGATGACTTGAAAGGGCATTATGTAAAATTGGTGGTGCAATGACATGTTGTCTTAGGTACTTCAACTGACACAATGTTCACATACTGTATTGACCACTCCTCCTGTACTCATTTTGTGCATTTTGTATCATAATGTATTTATTTTAGATTTTTAGTTTTGTTTTATTTTTAGAATGTTAAAGATGTTTCTTTTAAAGCTATGTATATACGGTCATTAAAATTTGCATTACACTACGTTTTTCTTGTACAGCTGCTTTTACTGTTTACTGTTTTTATTCCAGTGATGCCGGAAGTTTAAAAAAAAAAAAAAAATGGAATCTGCCTTGTGAAATAAAATTTAAAAAAAAACATACGAAAGTAGTGAAACATCATCTTTTAAAGTGGCCCTTTTAAATACTCTAAAGTAAAACTGCCTATTCTTAAAACTATGTCTTGTATATTTTATGCTGCACAAATATACATTTAAAATGCATTCAACTTTTACCCTGGCCTTTTCTCTGTTCTATTTAAAATGATCTAATTCTCTAATAAGGTAGGAGCCATTGCATTTATTCTTTCAGGCCAAAAGATTTAGCAGTGCTAAAATGCTGACACATCCCCACACCAAATTATATTGTTTATTTTATTACTTTTCATTTGGATTCCCTTCTGATTTTTATAATCCTTGGTGGTTGTACATTAAACAAACTGACTTTACATACATACATACATACATACCATGGCTCTGTCATTCTTATTTGTATAGATCAAAACCTTTTTTTTGGGGGGAAGGGGGGGTTTCCTCTCTGCAAAGTGACGGGATCTTAGTCCAGGATGTGGAGAGCCTTTACCTTGAACCCTCCTATATGACTATCAGTGTATCTATCAGTCTATCTACTTGCTGATTGGAATAGTGAAGCTGGGTGTGTGAATTGAACCGAACTGTGATCTGATGGCTGCCTGAATAATACAGGGTACAAACTTATGTCATAATTGCTACTTTTCCAGTCACTGGACCACTTGGGATCTGGTAAGCTATCAGAATGGGATCTTGTGCACCATGATAAATGGTGGTATATTTAGTATCAAATGAGCCAAGTTTGTGTCCTAGATTAGGATGAGTTTTGCAAGTTCGTTATTCACTTTCCCAGCTCACCGTTTAGGAATAATCCAGTATGTAAGGTTATTTTGGAGGTTTAAAAAATAAAGAATTCATAACTGCAAAAAAAGTAGCAATAAACCAATGATATCCCACTCTGGCAAAATAAATACAAAATATGGCATTATTAGAAGACTGATGCAGAGCAATAACAATGAAAAGATGTTCTTCAAACAACTTGTACTACAAAAGCTATTCTAAGCTGTGAAAAAAAAAAAAAATATATATATATATATATATATATATATATATATATTACCCCAGAAGTGAGAGAATAGATACTTTTCTCAAGCAAACTTAAAAATCTTTGTCTACACATTATAGATGCAATAAGGGTTACTATAGATCAACATCAATAGCTGTAGCTCCTGTTGTCCATACTTGGTACACAAATTGCCCTTTAGATACAATCAATCACTCTCATTAATGTTCAATCTTGATTTATTTTCCATGTAAAGCCTTTCTTTGTGGTGGATTCTGTGAAAAGCATAATCTAGATTAACTAGATTTAGTGTTAAAGGAGCACCACGTATTCCTGACCTCTAGGGGTTAAAACCACCATCTAGCCACCCTGGTCCCCTCATGCCTCTCTAAATATATTAAAATCATACTTGTATTAAAGTCTGCAGCTGCTTGCTTTGTCACGGTTTCCTTTTGACCTGCCTGCTGACATCAGAAGTGGTAGCCTGATCCAGTCACAATGCTTCCCCATAGGATTGGCTGAGACTGACAAAGAGGCAGATCAGGTGCAGAGCCAGCATGATTCAAGCACAGCCCTGGCCAATCAGCATCTCCTCATAGAGATGAATCTCTATGAGGAAAGTTCAGTGTCTGCATGCAGAGGGAGGAGATACTGAATGTTTGGATGCATTTTAGGCAGCCATGACCAAGGAAAGATCTCTAACAGCCATCTGAGGAGTGGCCAGTGAAGTTATCACTAGGCTGTAATGTAAACACTGCATTTTCTCTGAAAAGACCGTGTTTACAGCAAAAAGCCTCAAGGTAATGATTCTGCTCACCAGAACAACAATAAACTGTAGATGTTCTGGTGACTATAGTGTCCCTTTAAGCAGACTTGTGCACATCAGAAATTTTTGTTTAATCAGAAATCAAATTTGTTCAGTATTTTCTGTTTGGAATTTCCATTCAAACAATCGCTGGTAAATCTTTGCTTTAGAAAGTACATAAATCCCTAATTTTGTAATCTTATTCAGGATTGCCATACTTAAGGGTATTTGGGAGGGAGCAATGTTTGATAGCTCTGTATTTTGGTATACTTTAAATATGGCAATCTCACATAAGAATACAAAATAACAAAGCTGTCTACTAAACTACGGAAAGATTAATTATAAATCATGCGACGTTTGAACTCAGTGTATACACACATAATACTTGGTATAATGAATAGTTCCAATGATTAGTTCGACCATATCCAGAACAAAGACAAAAGTATGTAAATTTAGATAAATGAAAATAATGATCAATCTCTGTTTAGATAAATTTGTTCTGGGTTCTGTTGACGTTATCATTGGAGCTATTCATTTAAAGGACCACTATAGGCACCCAGACCACTTCAGCTTAATGAAGTGGTCTAGGTGCCAGGTACAGCTAGGGTTAACCCATTTTTTTAATAAACATAGCAGTTTCAGAGAAACTGCTATGTTTATAAATGGGTTAATCCAGCCTCCAGTGGCTGTCTCTTGACAGCCGCTAGAGGCGCTTGCGTGCTTCTCACTGTGAAAATCACAGTGAAAAGACGCCAGCGTCCATAGGAAAGCATTGTGAATGCTTTCCTATCGATGGCTGAATGCGCGCGCAGCTCCTGCCGCGCATGTGCATTCAGCCGAAGAGGGAGGAGAGGAGGAGGAAAGCTCCCCGCCCGGCGCTGGAAAAAGAGGTAAGTTTAACCCCTTCCTCTCCCCAGAGCCCTGAGGGAGAGGGCACCCTCAGGGCACTATAGTGCCAGGAAAACGAGTGGCACTATAGTGGTCCTTTAACTAAGTACTGTGTGTGTGTATACACTAGGTGCAAACTTCACACAATTTATATTTTATGTTTCTGTATAGGTGTTGGAGTTGCACACGCAGTGTATTATAATTTATCGCAGCACCAACACACTTTCCGCATCTTTTTTCTTAACAGCGGAATGATGAAATTTAAGAAAAGCCCTTTTAATCGTGTTGGTCTTTCAGCTGGTAGGTAGATTGTTCCCTAATTTATTACCCTTATGTGGGATTGCTATATTTAAGGATACTAAGATTCTTATCGAGCAGTGTGTTTATTAGTTTATTCTTCCATTGTGCAATTCAGAATTTTAACAAATAGATGCCATTCTTTGAATTTCCACTTTGCTAAAAACACAGACTTGGGCATTCATTTTCCAAAGTGAATTTAAAATGTAAGGCCGGAAGCATAGCTGACTTGGAGAATTTGTCCACTTTGGCTACTTTGACCGTACATTTTGAAATGCACTTTGAATTCCAGATTGAATTCATTTTTTATTTAGTAAATAACACTTTTAGTTGTAATCGACTATGGGCTGATTCTTCAGTATAGTTTAGGCTTATCCTAAAATGTTTTCTTTTTCTTTTTACTCTCTTGCCACATTATTTACTCCCTTTTTATCCTACAACAAACCTTGTTTTTCACTATTTTACCCCTTTCTTTTTACATTTGGGGCACTTGTTTCTCTCTCATTAAACCACATTTATTCATTCTTTGTTTAGGCTTAATTCACTCTTTTTTTCTCTATTTACCACCTTTTGACATCAAACAATTCTGTTTTCTCAATTTACTCCCATTTTAAACCAACACCCCCGCATACTGGTTTAATTTTACTTACGTTTTTACTCTACTTACTTAAGTAACTTACTTTACTTAGTACCAGCATAGCTTTTCATGTCTCCAGATCAATAATGTGAGTATCATTGACTTATGATCATAACATCTAACAATCGACTGTAATTTCATCCAAAATGTGAGATCAATCATTAATGGGACACTATAGGCACCCAGACCACATCAACTCAATTAAGTGGTCTGGATGTAGTGTCCCAGGTCCCTTTACCCTGCTAAGGTAATTATTGCAGTGTTTGATAAACTTCAAAAATGACATTGCAGGGTTAACTCTCCATTGGCTATCTATAGTGTTAGAAAATCAGTTATAGTTTCCCTTGATCCATTTTGAACGCCCATGGCAGAGATAATCTAGAAGAATTTGCATACGGTTCTGTTTTCTGGACGTTTACACTCTACAGTTGTTTAAGAATCACAAATATGTTAGCTCTGTTTATGAATAAGACTGCGGAAAATCAGTTTTTGTAAAACCATGTTAAGGAAATGCAGAATTTAGTAAGACTCAATGTTAAACCTCTGTATACATAGAGCCTTGTTATTTTACATCAACACCATGAGGGGGCACTGTTGCTCTGTTTTTTTATTGGAAATACCAGACTAAGATTTGGTTTCGCTATATTAAATGCAAACCACATATAAAATATACAGGTTCTTCCTGTGTCACAAAACAGAATTTTATGTACACAGACACACATCAAGGATTATAAGCCTAGACTCAGTTTAAAGTGTTTGATATTCCATCTGCATTTTATCCTTATTACTAATAGTATATATATATATATATATATATATATATATATATATATATATATATATATACACACACACACACACACATATTTAAAGGGACATCGTTTGATGCTTTTATTTAGCAAATTTAAGATTTTAAGGGGTATATTTATTGTGTTTAATATTTAAGTAAACATAAAATGATTAGAATTACAGATTATAACACACTATCACAAGAGGAGAAGTGTGCATGTTTACTCACAAAGGGTTAAGGTACACTTCAAGCTGTGGGTGAAACAATCTTTTAATTTTATTTAAAGTGTGCTTATATAGTCAGTGCATTAAGAATATATGCAAATACAGTATATGAATTCAGCTCTTAACAGTGAAGTGACCTAGCCAATCATGACGCCGCTCAATTTATGTTCTAGATCAGGGGCTCTCAACTCAGTCCCCAAGTACCCCCCTAACCAGGGTCGGACTGGGAAAAAAAAAATCGGCCCGTGCATTTTTCAATTACAGCGGCCCCCTGAGAAGAGGGCGGGCCAGAGAGGGCGTGTTTTGTCATGACTAACGACAAGCACGCCCCCTCTCAAAGTGAGCATGTTAGTTCAATGTGCAGAGCCCCGCTGAAGAGCTCTAGCATAGGAAAAAGGCCCTGTA